GAGCGTCTATGGCATTGCAGATACTCTGCTAGTTCTGGTAGCTACAAAGATGGATAAGTCATCTTACTGCTTACATAGTGTTTCAGGGGCTATAAAAGTGCCTCGGGACAGTGTTAGAGGCTACAGTGGAAGATGTGAGGTTAGTCTGCAGAAATCATACCTCAAATGCAAACCTGGGAACCAGCTGGCTCAAGTGACTCATCCAAAGGGACATAGCACAGCAGAGACCCCCAATATTGTCAACTATTTATAAAAATGCCACCTGTATGCTTGTTCTAACCCATGTTGCTTCCAAAAAAAAACCAGGATCCACTTACCAAAGTCCACTGTTCCCTTTCTCTAAAGACCAAGACTATGCAATCATTGGCGTCTCTCCAATGTCCAGCATAGGGCTGGGCATTGACTAGACACGCAAGGGAGGTTGATTCTATTAGCAGACATGGAAGGGAAAGTGAGCTGAGGGAAACCGTTTTGAAGGTAATTACTTAAATCAATAACCTACCCAGGTGGCCCAAGGATGGGAATGAGTTAAGATACAGGCACAAATGAGATTAAAAAGAGGGACATTACCCTCAAAATGCCATCTTCAAGTGTTTTTGGCAAATAGGCCCTTCTGCTGAATTTTACACTATAATGAGAATGTGGTGGATATGCAATATTTTAAGTGTCCAAGGCAGGAAGTGCTTTTTTTTAGCCGCTTATACTTTTTGTGGATGGAACAACATTTTTCATTTTGGTAGGTTCCCACACTTTGATTTCAGCATCCCACAGGATTGTAAAACACATTCAACATTTTTATATTGGATTGAACATATTTTTGGCTCACAAAGTATTCACTTTGGTTCAATTCATAGTTGTATGGAAAGGCATATGAACTTTATTTAACATCCTTTATAAAGAAAATGGCCACGGATTACTTGGCTACTGATATATAATCTAGTTTTGGCAATTGTAATTTATTGCTCATTGTGATTTTAAGTTTTAAAATGACTGCGTTCTATTGTTTGGGAGAGGTGTGACCCTAGGATGAAAGTGTTCTTCTGAGAGCAACTGACTATACTTTAAATATTAAGGTCATGAATCCAAATTCTTTTAAAGATAAAATAGACAAAATACTAGGTAACTGGATTTGATCTTTCATTTTTTTTTTAGCTCCTAACCTATGTGCAAGTTTTGAATGAAACCATAACTCCTTTAAAAATACAAGCAAGGCACATCCAATTAATCACACGAATTTCCCTCCAGACGGGACACATTCCTGGGACATTAATTTAAACTTTCATTGAGTCTATAAGCGGCATGAGCATAATAAAGTAAGATTTTGTGAAACAATAGCTGAGCAAATGCGACCTTATTCCACAGTGGTGAAAGTATAATTTTGTATTAATATAGATATTATTAGACTTCTTGTTCTATTTATATACTTCTAAATATTATTTAAAAGAAATATTATACATATTTAATTGAACCTGGGGAAGATTTAGTGTTTTTAAAATTTTATTTTAATCTATCCAATATTTTCCCTTACATTTTATCATTATTTTCCCAAGCAGTTGCCTGTATTTCAAGGAGAGAGATTACTAAACCTGACCAGTTTTGGAGAATCACCCAGTTAGGCCATCCTTCCATTTCTCAAAAATAGCTTCTGAACACCAGGAACAATTTTAGAACTGCCCAAAGATTTACTTTCAGTCGGCATTAAAAACACAAATGAGGGGCCTCCCCTGGTGGTGCAGCGGTTGAGCGCTGGGCTATGAAGCTGCCCGCAGCCTCTGTGGTGCCGGTTTTATGCCCGGGCCGCCAGCGAGGGTCCCACATGTTGTGACAGATCTCTCCTGCCGCGTCTGCTGCTCCCCTCAGCAGTGCATTTCATCAGTCTGCCTGCTCTGTTCCCTGCTCTGGTGAATTCTCTCACCCTCCCACGCTTCTGACTGTACCCGGTGCTTATATAAAAAAATAAATAAATCTTTAAAAAACAAACAAACAAACAAAAAAACCACACAGATGAATGAAATAGGGAACAGGACTTAAATTCAATAAAGCACAGCTAAAATGTGACAATGTGTTAATCATCTGGTTAATTTGGCCAGTACTGAGAGGAGCAGTGGGTATTTTGGGTTCCAAAGATGAAAATAAGGAAGAACTCCAACATTCTGCTTTGCACTGTCCCCATTGTTTCTGGTCTTATTGTCTATGCCGGTTTTCCTGCAGAAAATATATGTCTAAAGGCAAACCTTAAATTACAAACAGATCTGTGAAAATCTTCTGGAACAGCTCTGTGTTTATGAACGGAATTGGAGAAACAACAACAGAAACAGTTGCCTGTTGTGAAGTAGCAGGGAACATATTTCTCATTAGGAATGAAGGCACTTTGTTCTGATTGCTCACGGCAAAAACCGTGAGAGCCACTGAGCCCTGCTTCCTGATCTCAGTTCAATTTCAGGCACAATACTGGGTCTGGTGCACATCGGCTTACAGGTGGGATAAAGATCTCTTGGCAAAATTCACAAGACCATGTTGCTCTACAACTGATACCTCTTGGAAACAAAGGGAAAAATGTTGGCTGTTCAGATGCTGGCTAGGAGAGAATCAGAATATTTCTATATTAAAAAAAAAAAAAAGCAGTATTAAAAAACTCCAGAAATTTTAACTAGAGAGTCCAATTCTTACGCCTTAGGTAAGGACTGTGTAATTTCAGGGACTGGATTCCTGGCTAAGCTCTAAACCACCCTAAATTTAGTCAAATTTCATCTGGGGTTTCTACTCTGATCCTCTGAAAGGAAAGAACTGAGAGGGTTGTAAAAAGAACATTTCCAGTAACAGGTCTTCTGTGAATAAGTGTGGTGAGATCTTTGGGGGACCTCCCATCACACAGAGGTGTCACAGCCAGGTATCTTAAGTTTACAGGACAAGGTAAGTGAACTCAGGGTGAGTCTAGGGCCACAGTAGCAAACTCAAGTATCAACTGAGGCTAGGAATTTCTGTTTCTTAAGAGATGTCAAAAACTATGTTTTTTTATAAGAAATCACCTGACATTAAGATGCTGGGCTGTTGTATTCTAATACTTGCTGATCTGAATCTGTGGCTCGTTAACCATGGTGGACGTATGGATTTCTTTTCTAATATGTGTGTGACATGTCCAGAAGGCAAATGATAATGGTTACAAACATTTTGTGCCAAGTACTCTGTGAGTGTTGAAGTCATCTTACATTAGCCTTCCAATAGTCCTCATGGTTGGCACAGTTTGCCCAATTCACAAACCTGTACATTCAGAGACACAGAGGCAAAGAAAGGTGTCCAAGTTACATAGTTAGCTGGGAGTATGTACTCTTAACCATGCTGTGTGTGCAACATCTGACTTAGATCCTGTTACATATGGTTGATTTTTTAAAACTATCGTGGAGTCATTTTCCTTAGTAAAGGATTAAGGTTTGTGCCTAATAATAAATAATAATAATAATAATAATAATAAACAATTGAATTAAGTTTGTTTCCTTTACTTGAGCAGAGCCAGTAACTGGGTGAATGTACATGTCATACTCCTAGATGGAAAAAATTTAGAGTTTCATTCAGTTCTGCTTTTTTCCTAGCTGTGGGAGTTAGGCAAATCTTTGAAGTTATCTTCACACTTCACTGTTTATTTTTCTGGCAAGTCGGTGAGATAGGTTTGCTATTTCAGTTTTATAGGTGAGAAACTGGAGTTCCAAGTGACTTACAGGAGTGTCTGGTTACCAAAGTGATCAGTAAGTGGCCACCAGTTTGACTTTTATATAACATGAAGCAAAGCACTTGCTACTGTAAGTGAATGAACAGCTCCAACTTAGAAAATGGGAAAAGCAAACCAGAGACATTGTGAGGACCAGAAAGAATGCACATATGATAATGGTCTCGTAGAATCATTAGCAGATATGTTGGCAGCTTCTATTGTAGTTATTACCATTACTTATTTTTTTTCTCTTACAACTAAGGAAACAACTTTCAAAACAAAAGTGGTTTGCCTTGAGTTAAGACCTTTTTGGCCCTTAACCTTGTATTTTTTTCTAGTATATCATTCTGTCTCCTGGTACAGGTGATCCTCATGGTAAAGAGCTACAATGGACCATCCAAAGGGCAGTCATATATGATCCAGCATCCCCTCTCCAAGAATACAAAAACACTAATCCAAACAGATCTATGCACCCCTATCTTCACTGCAGCACTATTTATAATAGCCAACTTAGGGAAACAACTGAAGTGTCCAAAGACAGCTAAGTGGATAATGAAGATTATGTGGTACTACTCAGCTAGAGAGAGAGAGAGAAAGAGAGAGAGAGAGAGAAACCAGATGAACTTTTATGGAATTGGAGGGGATGATGATAAGCAAAATAAGTCAAAAAGAGAAAGACACATGCTGGATATTTTCATTCATATGTGAAATATAAAAAACAAGACAAAGGAGCAGATAAAACCAAGCCAAAACAAACCCTAGAAATGTAACTGAGGGTGGGCGGGTGGGGGTGAGGGGGTTGGTTGGGAGTAATGGAGGTATGGCACTTATTGGGCTATGCTGGAAGATTATTGGTGCTTTGGTGGTGGGCATGACCCACCCCATTTTAGTCAATATTTGCAGAGGCATGAACTTGTATCCCTAAAACATACAGTGTTGGCAATCAAAGCTATCTCAATAAACATAAAACAACAACAGCAACACAAAAACAAAGAGCAGACATAGAAAAATTGGACCAATCTAAACAACATTCCTATGACATCCTCAGCATTCCCGAAAGTCAAGTGTAATGGTGAAAGTTTGACAACTAATTGTGAAAATCAATGCACTCTCCCGGAGATCCATGTGCTCCTGCCCTGTTTCCCAAAATGGAATTCTCTTTTCTCCTTTGCACTTTGCAATTTAGCCTATCAACAAACACATCTGAAATAGAAGGACTGGAAGTTCTTTAAGCTAGCTCAAAATGATGTCTTCACTATAAATTCAGCAGATGTCGCCAAAAGAAGGGACTTACTTCAAAGACCAGTGTCTCATTTGTGGGTCCTGGGGCGTAGAGACGTTCTGGGCGGTTGAAAGGGCGCTGGTATTCGAATGTGGTCCCGGCAAAGGGGAACTCCCCAGGCCAGTCGATGCGCCAGCCCCCTGTCAGATAATACTTTTGACTGAGGCTCCTAACGGCGAGGTAGCTGGAGGAAATCTGTAATTCTTGGATTTCAATGCTTCGGGCCCCTGCTGGGACAATGACTACTGGATAATATTCTAAAAGGAAAAAGAACATTTCTATAAGTGAAACCATCCAATATTTCTCTTTTTCCTTCTGACTTACTTCACTGAGCATAATTCCTTCTAGCTCCATGCATGTTACTGCAAATGGCATGAGTTTATCTTTTTGATTACTGAATAGTATTCCATTGTATATATATATATATATATATATATGTACCCCATCTTCTTGATCCAGTCATCTATTCTGGGCATTTGGGTGATTTCCAGGTTTTACCTATTATAAATAGTGCCGCAATAAACATAGGGGTACAGGGAATTTTTTTTGAATGAGTGTTTTTATGCCCTTTGGGTACATCCCTAGGAGTGGAATTGCCGGATCATATGGTAGCTCCATTTTAGGTAGACTGAGGACCCTCCACACAGCTTTTCATAGTGGTTGGACCAGTTTGCACTCCCACCAGCAATGTAGGAGAATCAAATAAGACATCAGGGGGAAAAATAATAACAATATAACAAAACCAAATAGACAATTATGAACTAGAGACATCCTGCAGGGGAGGAAGAGAGAGAGGGATCACAGGGAAGAAGGGAGGAGCAAAAGGGACTGTGGTGATGGTGCACGGGTGCATTGGTGAAGGAAATTCTATGGCGGGGGGGAAGCAAACATTGTTTAAAAATGAACAATGATGTAGAAAATATATTAAAAAATAAATAAAAGCAAAAAAAGAAAAGAACGTTTCTGTTTTTCTCACTATGTGTTGGAGAGATATGACTAGAAATGCCCAGAAACATGGAGAGGCCTTTTTTATAGTGTAGGGTTTTTCAGTCATAAAGTGACATTCACTTCTATTCTATGAAGTGAAGATGACCAATTGTTCCATTACCAGGGTAGGAACATCAGAGAAAGAAGACGTGTGTCAGGTGAGTGCATAGATCCCTTACTGAATGGGAAAAAATACTTACATGATACTTAACTGAAAAGGGATTTTTATATATATATATATATATATATATATATATATATATATATATATAAACTCAGCTTAGCAATAAAAATACAATCAGCACAATTAACAAACAGGCAGCAGATGTGAACAGAAAGATTACTAAAGAGGATATCCAGAAGGCCAAAAGACTCATGAAAAGATATTAATTGTAACAAGAGAGATGCAAGCTAAAATCATAATGAGACACCACCTCACACAGGAAGACAGCACATATTAAAAGAACCCAACAAGTGCTGGAAAGGATATAGAGAAAGATGACCCCACTTTGAGGTGAAACCATTATGGAAAACAATTTGAATTCACTTCAAAAAATTAAAAACAGAAATACTGTATGAACTGACCATCACACTCTTGGGCATATATTTACAGAATAAGAAATTATCACCAAAAAATCCGATGTGTTCTACAATATTCACACCAGCATAATTACCATAGCTGGTACATGGAAGTGGTCTAAATCTCCTTCAACAGATGGCTGGATCAACAAGATGTGCTACATACACATCATGGAATATTACATACCCATGAGAAAGGATGAAATGTAATCATTTTCAACAGAATGAGAGAATTTGAAAAATTTTATGCATCAAAGCAAGTCAGAACAATAAAAACGAATATTGGACATTCATAGTGTAAAACATATTCAAAACCAAAGGACATTAGTAAGCATCCCGAGGGCTCTGAAGTTAAGTGGAAGAGGGGTAGGGAAAGTGACAAGGGGTGGTAGTGGAGAAAAAGAAAAGTGCAAACAGGCATCCGAAACTGCCTTAGAGCCAAGTTCATGGTCACATCCTAATGGCTGTGACCAAAAAAAATACAAAGGGGGGAGGGGGAGACAAAGATCAGAGAAATCAATGGACTAAAAAGCACCTAGCAATACAGTTTTCTGTATTTCTGGAATATTTGGAAGGCAGTATACTTTCAAACTCCCTGAAAACACTGCCCCAAACCAATAACCTTCATCTTCCAAAGACAACTTTTCCTAAAATAAATAAATAAAAACTCCAAATAGAAAGGCATTTGTTTATCACATCTCTGAGATATAATATATTGATGAAACTGCTCACACTGAAAAGCCACCTATCTTCCCTGGTTCTTGCACAGCTGAGATGAGCCATCTCCCTTGCATGTTAGGTGAGCTATTAAAAGGCTGTGCCATGCTAGCAAGACTCAACCCTGCTTGGCAGCAGTGGTGTGTTCCAGCAGACACAGTAATGAAACAGCATCTCTTACCATTTGCTTTGTGCTGGTTGAGGTAGAGGCCTTTATAAAACTTGCAGGTCGAATTATCACCTTTGCAAACACCACAGGCATCCGAAACTGCCTTAGAGCCAAGTTCATGATCACATCCTACTGGCTGTGACCAAAAAAAGGGGGGGGGGAGGGGGAGACAAAGATCAGAGAAATCAATGGACTAAAAAGCACCTAGCAATACAGTTTTCTGTATTTCTGGAATATTTGGAAGGTAGTACAGTTTCAAGGTGAACAGCATGTCAAATCTGACTGAGTAGAAATCCACATTCTTGCTCTATCATTACTAGATGCACGTCAGATCTGAACCTGTACACCTAAAACATACAGTGTTGTAGGTCAAAGTAACCCCAATAAACATAAATAGCAGCAGCAAAAACAAACATGGGAGAAAATGGACCAAGCCAAACAACATTTTTGCTATGTTTCCTAGCATTCACGACAGCCTCTGCTTGTCTAAGGCTGAGATTCTCCATCTGTATAACTGAACTAAAAAATTGTCATGACTACTAACATCGGATGAGTTTACTCAGGACAGTTCTACTGCTGAATCACACACACACACACACACACACACACACACACACACACACACACACCTTTTAAAGATCCACAAGCTCACAATCAAATTAAAATCAAAGACAAAGGAAAACAAATCAGACATGGTCTGGCTTCAAATCCTATCTGTGAGGATCTAATCCTATCATCAATGTACTCAGCCATTATTATTTATTTTGTACAACTAAAATGTAAAGTAGCATAGACCATCAATGCCATTCTTGATCTATGGTGGGAGATCGAAAGGGAAACTGAAAAACTGGATGAGGTAGTACAAAAAGAAAGAGGGGGTTTGGAGTCAGTGCTCACATCCTATCATGTCCTATCAGGGATGGTGGGGTGTCCTCTCCCCCACCCCACTGCACTCATTTGATATGAGAAACACAAGCTGGGTCACACATCCCAAAGCGGGAATGTTCTCTTACTTCACAAATCCCGTCGATACAAACATCATTTTTGTTTGGGGAGCAAGGAGTTCCATCTTTCACCTTGCCAGACATTGCAAAAAAAAATTCAAAGTTCTCAGCCTTGCAGTACAGTTTACACCGATCTTCCTCTAGAAGCAAAGAAATTGAGAGAGGGCATGGTCATGAGGGAATCAGAAAAACAACAGGACTATCAACAGAACTATGGAGACAGCTGATCAAAATACAAAATGCTCTGTATGTCTTTATGTGTGTGTGTACATGTATGAAAGCAAATGGATGTGCCTTTTAAAAAGAAATCCCTTTGAGCAATCCAGATCCCACTGCTTAATATTCATACACAGTATTTTTATTTATTTATTTATTTAAAGAATTTTTTTTTTTAAGTCCTAGCAACAGGCATGATACACATGGTTGGTGGGGGGTGTAGCAACTCTCCTTGGACGGTAGACTTGTTAGCCTTTCTAGAGCCTAGGGCCATTCATCGACAAGATGTAAATGATGAAGTGTGGATGTGTTTCAATAAATCTTTATTTAAAAGAAAAAAACACGTCCAATTTGGCTCCCAGAATGTAGTTTGCTGACTGGGATTTAGGATATGATTCCTTTAAGTAACTAAGGCCCTTTGGAAACAAAGGCAGATGACCAACATTCATAAAACATATGCAGAACAATCATTGAGAAAATGAAGAAGAAGGAAATAGACCAAACCTACAGGCTAAAAATTGTAACAATTATTGATCACTGAGTCCCTGAGAAGTTTCTGGTATCACAGGCAAAGGAAAAAGTATTGTACTTATAGAGCTCTTGTTATCAGAAAGGAGTGATTTTGCCAATTTCTAAAACAGACAAAGATCTTCTTGGCGAGGAATTCTCACATGAGGCCTTACATAGGCAATGCCGTGTGATATCCCTGACAACAGTTTTACAACAAATGTGTAAACACTTTGCAAAATAGTTGTGTTTCATAAAGCTCATGAAACTGCTCAATAAAAGAAGTCAAATCTTAAAAGTGAAAGAACTTAGATTATTAGGCATAAAACATGCAGTTATGTGGACATATTAAAGTTTCTCTCTCACCCAGGAATTTTTAATAGCAGCTTTATTTAATACCCTCTAATTTTTTTTTAAAGATTTATTTATTTATTTATACAAGCACTGGGTACAGTCAGAAGCGCGGGAGGGTAAGAGAATTCACCAGAGCCAGAGTGGGGAGCAGAACAGGCAGAAGGACCAAAGTACACTGCTGAGGGGAGCAGCAGGCGTGGCAGGAGAGGTCTGCGCGCCATGTGGGACCCTCACCGGAGGCCGGGGATCGAACCGGCGCTGCAGAGGCTGCGTGCAGTTTCGCAGTCAGGCGCTCAACTGCTGCGCCACCAGAGAGGCCCTAATGCCCTCTAATTTTTGCATGAGATCAGAGAACTGGAAGATTCTATAGATATATATGCATATATATCCCATTCCTTGTATCTATAAATATATGGATATAAATACGTATCTCCTCTCTTTCTTTCATCATTCCCAGGAGTTCACAAGTTCTAGAAAGTTCTGATCCTAACAAAGGTTCCTGGGCAACTTTATGAGAGTTCATTAGAAACACAGAATAAGGGCCTCCCCGGTGGCACAGCAGGTTGACTGCAGTGCTATGATGCTGTCTGCAGCCTCTGCAGTGCGGGTTCGATTCCTGGCCAGCCAGGGAGATACCCACATGGCACAGCAGACCTCTCCTGTTTTGCCCGCTGCTCCCCTCAGCAGTGTATTTTGGTCCATCTGCCTGGTCTGCTCCTGTCTCTGTCTCTGGTGAATTCTCTCACCTTCCCGCACCTCTGGCCTGTTCTTGTATACATACAATTAAAAAATTTAAAAAAATCTTTAAAAAAAAAAGAGAGAAGAAAATATTGAATCATGTGCTACATTAAAAAAAAAAAAAGAAACAGAAGAAAGAAGCTGACTATTACAGGACAAAGACTACCCACGTTTATGAACAAAATTCACTTGTTTTTCCCAAACTGTATCAATGTTGCAAGACCTTCACATCAAGGTTAGTTTTTCTAATTGTATCAAAAAGAGAAGAAGAAAGGTTAACTTTTCTGTCTCTCTCCACCTGGAATGAGGTCTTAAGGCTGGGGACTCTGGTCATTTCAATGTGCTCTCTCCCATATCTGGCAGGGCTTTTATACAGTAAGGGCTCAGTAAACATCTTTTGAGTGACTGAAGGACATAGTCTGTTTCCTATTAATAAAAACTGCAATCAAGTTAGTCAAAGAACTCTGAAACCAAAAAAAAAAAAAATACATACATACAAAGTGTATTTTCTTAACTTTCTCCTTATGTATTTCACAGAGAGCCTCTTTAAAGGGTGACAGAATAGATTAATTACCTAAACACTGTATTTGAATGAAAGAATGCAAGAAAGTTAGGGAATGTCAAGAAGAGACACATAAAAGAGGAAGTAAGAGGAAGGGTAAGAACATCTTGGAGAAAGAATCATAGGTAAGAAACATAGGGTAACAGGCATATTTACTAAAAGAAATATTCAAATGTTGGGATGGAAAGCAATTACAGTTATTTTATCTAATTGGCCAGGGGAAACTGTTGGAAAAGTGGCCTTCTGGATTATAACTCAGTTCCTGAGTAGACTGGGATTTAGGACATGGATTACTTCAGATTTAGTTTATTTTACTATGAGGAGAGAATGCCCTTGACTCATAAAGGGAAGACAGTTAATATTTATTTATTCATTCATTCTACTGGTTATACGAATGTGCTGAGTGGAGTTCTTAGATGTTAGAGATACAAACATGTTCAAAATGGGCAAAGGCTTCAACTCTGTGGCACCTAAATTCTTGCAGAGAGAGAGATAATAAAGAAGTGATTATATAATATAAATTCACACATTGGTAAGATCTACAAAGAAGAAAGAAGACAGGGTTCAGAGAATGACATGAAGGAAGAAGGCTTTGGGTAAGCTGGCAAGGAAGGTTTCTCTGATAGGGGATATGGCAAGAAAAGTCATACTCCTTGAATAAATTCTGTCCTCTGGAGCAGTTTCAGATGAGACTGGGCACATTCAGGATGGTATAGCTGTAGATTGGAGCAATTTCAAATGAATCTAAATCCCTTCTATTCAACAGCTCTTTGAATTTTGAAGGCAACTAGTTTCTTTTTTTTTTTTAAGATTTATTTATTTATGCGTACAAGAGCTGGGGTTCAGGCCAGAGATGTGGGGGGTGAGAAGATTCACCAGAGACAGGCAGATTGACGGAAGTACACTGCTGAGGGGAGCAGCGGGTAAGTCAAGAGAGTTCTGCTACACCATGTGGGTATTTCCCTGGCTGGCCGGGGATCTCGTGCTGCAGAGGCTGCGGACAGCTTCATAGGTTGTGTCTTAATCCCTTGCGCCACCAGGGAGGCCCTCTTTTCAAAGCAAACATCTATGGATCACCCACTGTCGCCTCTTAAAAGACACTTCAGAAGACTCATGTCTTTATCTGTGCTTTTAGGATAGAATCTGTACTTCTGGCCCAGAACCAGACCAATACCCCTGCAAGGCTGGGTTGGTTCTAATCAAAGCTGTACTATCAAATCCTTTGATTTGGACACGCCACTTCTTATAATGTTTCTCTAATCACATTATAAGAATCATGTGATCATAGATAATATAGATTCATTTTCAGTTTTTGTACAAGAACAGCCCTCAGTCTTATTTCCCATGAAATGTCATCAACTTAAGTCTCTTCCCATTCTACACATGTGCAGTTGGAATTCACATCCTTTTTCAAGGGAGCACTGATGACAGAATGTGAATGGAAACAGTGAAGAGAAAACAATTAGAAGAGTAACAGCTCATTTTGCAAAGGTAATAGAAATTGCATTAAATTTGTATAACTGTTTTGATACTTACTAAAATAAAACCATGTTAAAGACTGAAATACAAGCCATAAGTTTAAGTTATAATAAATACTAGTATAAGACATTTTTACGTGTGTGTGTGTGTGTGTGTGTGTGTGTGTACCCCCTCTGCCAATGGGCCTTCTTCCTATTCTTGTAATAACCTAACCTGTCAGTGACTGAGTAGAGTGTCTCTACAGAGCATATATGGTTTCATAGATTTTAGGTCTGGACAATTCATACCAATTTCAATGACCATCCCTGGGAGACTTCATTGTTGAAATGTCAAAGGTAAGTTTAGAAACATAAGTACATTTCCAAACACTTGACCCCTTTGGCTTACAGATCTGGGAGACAAAGGTTGTCTTGTGGGGGGAAAAAGTGTGGAAAATAAATAAAATCTATAGAACTGTAAGAAAAAGTGGACCCAGATGGACCTGGGGAATAAAAGGTAACCACTGAAAATCTTGTACATGGGCAATAATCTTTTCTGTGTTGTTCATTCACATTATTGCCCACATAGAGAGCTTGAGATTCCCATAATTCACCTTACCTTCCACTTTTGTATAGGGTTTCCACTGGTAGAACCATCCTCGGAAGGGTTTGCCATTATATTCTGCACACTGCTGGGCTCGAAAATCCAAGCTATTTTCATGACAAGGGTTAATGTTACAAAGCTGATAAACACGGCTGGATCCTGGACAGAATTTCCCACCATACTGAGGCCTGAAGACAAAATGAAAGAACTTCAATGCTAGTCATGAAAGGACTCATTCTTAGCCACAGGTGTGAGTACATGGAATGACAAAATGGATGAGTACTGTCACTCACAGCATTTATGGTTTATTATAAGAACAAATATATGTCACATATGCCTCACAATGTCTCTTATTGTTTCCCTGGCAGGCATACCTAATCAATCAGGGACGTTTTTTCTTTTCTTATTTTTGTTTTTTGCAGAACCCAACATGCCCTCAACATCTTTTTCAACACAGCCCTTAGGTAGTCACTATCATTGTTCATTAATTGGAATTGGTCTGTTAGAGCAACCTTATTTTCCTTCTGTGATCCAATTTTTACATTCTTACCATTTCCATAAAACTGGTAAAAGCATATTCTTGACCCTCATTGTCTCAAGTGCAAATAAATCTATAAATACACTTACACGTTCTTATTCATCTAGGACGTGTATTTGTGTGCTATACACACAAGCACATACGCCCTGGTATTGGCATCAAAGCTCTTCACTTGCAGACCAACCTACTCTCAAGCTTTTCTTCTTTCTGCAGACACTCTCACCATCTTCCTATAGTTTGTCATGCATGTGCTACTATGCAGAAGGTCAGGACACTGAAGAAAAAGAGTACAAAGCCAATGTGCCCCATTCTCCAATCCAGCCTCATCAGTTATTGAGCTGGTATTTGGATTATTGTCAGACTCTGGTATGTCTTATTCTGATTGATTCTAAACTCTGAGGAAAAACAGTCCTGTTTTCATCTGAATAATAATTTCTTAACTTTGTAGGTGGCCTACTCTATTCCTGTCAAACACAATAGGACAAAGATTTCCAGAGGAGGGAATCCCATTGGAATAAAAAGAATTCAATCTAATGGCAGGCTCTTTAAGATTTTGAAGGTAGACTACAAAAACCACAAAGCAAAATACAGAAAAAAGGAGCACAAATCACACCGAAAATGACCAACATTGTTTCAGTGTTTTCTAAAAATACAAATGTGAAACATATAAATTAAAAAAATTGTAAATAAACTTTATCGACACAACATGGGCTTGTAACATTGTAAAATTCTGAGATGTACAACATTATGATTCTACTTCTGTATACACTACATTATGATCACCCCAAAAGTCTACTTTTCCATCGACAACCATACTGTTTCCCCATTTTACCCAACCCCCAGCCCTTGTCCCCTTTGATATCTTCTCTATATGTTAATATACTTTTGTTTTGTTTGTTTACTTGCTTTATTTCTTCATCAACATGAGTGAAATCATACATTGTTTGTCTTTCTCAATCTGACTTGTTTCACTTTAGCATAATCCCCTCAGGGTACATCTGTGCTGTTGCAAATGGCAGCATATCTTTTTTCATAACTCAGTAGTATTCCACAGTATGGATATACCACATCTTCTTTATTTATTCATCAGTGGGCACTAAGGATGTTTTCATGTAAATTTGTAAATAATGCTGCAATGAACATGGAGATGCATATACCTTTTTGGAGTGTATTTTTGCTTTCTTCATCTTAATGCCTAGAAATGGAATAGTTACATCATATGGTATTACTCTTCTAAATTGTTTCTCACAGTGGCTGTACCAGTCTACATGCCCATCAATAGTGCATGAGTTTGCTTTACTCTACAATCTCTCCAATACTTGTTGCTTCTTGTCTTTTTGATAATAATCATTCTAACACCAATAATGTCTTATCCAGCTTACTCCAGGCACAAAGCAATTCCCTCTTTTCATTCACACATTTTTGTAGTTTTCTCCATAGTCTAAAACCCAATGATGGATCGTCTTGTACAAAAGCTCAATGCAAACACATAACATGAAAGGAGGCTCCAGGTTAATAAATTCATGTGATTAAAATGCCTTGTCTCTTTAGGAAGCACAAGAATGCTATAAAACACCCCCGGATTTGCTTCAGCATTTTTTATCAAATCCTCCTATAACTGCATACTAAAATGGATTCAACAGAAACGGGAAATGTCACACTGCCAGATTGAGATTTTTATGCTATTTCAAAACATTTTGGAGCAACTACTTAAACATTCAGCAGACATTGTGCGAGCTCAAACCCCTGAAGACTTCTTAAATCATGTTCTAAAAAGCATTTAGAAAAAACTTTCAAGTGTCATCTGAGATCCTTACTATTCCTGGTTGTCTTTACAAGGTATATTGAAAATTTTCTCAGTGAGAATTTCTGTCAGAGATTTTACAAATAATTCTCATTTAGACTGTTCAAATTCAATAAAACGAGAGAAAACCACATGTCACTTTTTCAACTCAGACATTATGACATGGAAATGACCTCAAAACTCACACAGCCATTGCTCATTTGATAGAGACGTGAGCAATGCCTGGGCAAGCATGCAAAGCTTGCTCTATAAAGATCACAATTAGAAAGACACAGAGCTGAGCTCTTACCTTTGGATTTCTAGGATTCTTCTATCCTACCTTGGCTAAATCTGCCTGAGCCAGGCAAGGAGGAGGAAAAGGAAGTCACCAAGGCTAGGGAGCTGGCTTCTAAAAAATGGGGAACATCTGGCTTTAAATCTCCTTTGCCTCTTCCCAGTTTATCTTTAAGCAATTTTATTTAACCTCCCACTCTGTAAAATGTGAACAGTTCTGATGATTGCAATGTGTGAAAAGAATTGAGGGCAGAGTCTAGGGCAGAGTTAGCACAAATAAATTCTGTTTTAAAAGGTGTTCTATTTTTCATGAGTGGTAAGAATTTAGACTTTACCACCAAATCTTCCAGGTTAACATTTTTCTGTATCTTTGAAAATGACTATTAACATAAATTAACAGAATTTTTTACCACGCTGCCCCTTGGTATAAGAGCAAAAATAAAATATAGCCAGAAGAAATGTCTAGGCAGAAGATTTTGTCTTTATATTAGGCTACTATAAAATATACCCATATTTGCTTCTGAGTAATTTATTAGGTCCTGACTACCAATCTTAAAATGCTGGCTGGCTGGCTGGCTGGCTAATATTTCAGAGACTCAGGTTATTTTATATATATAAATATATGTAAAATAAAATATATAATGTGTACAATGCATACAAATATATAATATAATGAATGTAGAATGCATATCTTATATATAATATACATAATGTATAATATAAAAATATTCAACATGTAATATATAGCATAAACACATATAACATACATATATATATACACTATAAATATATTTAATACATACATGATATCTATATAATATATAAATACATAATGTATGACATAAAATAAATATGTAATATATAATGACATAAAATATATATTATAACCTATATATAACAATATATAGGTATGTGTATATAATACACAATAATATATATGCATATATTATATGTATAAGTACAAAAATACAAAACATATGTATAACAAAAATATGTAAAAATCCCTGGCCTCTTCACAGACTTTCTCAATAAGATCATGCAAGGGGGAAGATCCAGAAATCAGTGTTTCTTTAAAGACATTTGGTGATACTGATAATCAGCAGAGCCTGGAAATTACTGGGTGGAAAATGGGCCAGAGATATGATTCAATTATTATTCTGGTGTTATGAGACTAGTTTTATAGCATTCTTTTTCAGGAGAGTTCTTTTAAGGGCATTTTAGAATGCCTTGGTCCCTTTAATTTTCATTTCAATATTTTAATATTGAATTTTAGCATTTTAATGACACTACTCATTTTCTTGAGTAGAGTTTATAGGCATTTCAGCAAGCTGTTCCACAGACTAGTAATAGAATATTAGGGAGCCAGAAAAATTATCAAAGGGCTCTTGGTCAGGCTGTGCCACTGCCAGGTTGTGACCTGCGCATGGGCTGCTGCTCTGAATGGCTGCTCCTGCCCTCCTGGATGTGCACTCGCAGAGGACACAGAGAAGGTTACACACTGCAGCCCATGTATCTCTTCTAACCTGACTGGGAGCTGACGCTTGCAGAAGTGTTTCTGAGAAGGTTCCTGAGCAGAGCAGGCCTTCATAGAAAATCGGACTTCAGCCAATTAAAAATGTCTGCCTAAGACGTGGGAAAAAAAGAAGGGCTGTATGTGCCTTTCAGAAAACCAGAATCAGATAACCTTTAAACTCTTTTGAAACTGAAAGACAGTACAAATCCAAGAATCAGCCAGGAATAATTCAGTTTTGATGAAACAAAATATGTTCTGGGAAAGCCATCACGATGGGAAATAAAAAGCTCACACTGCTTTTCACATGAAACAAAATGCAAAGAGTTAGGCTGAGTGATGAGAACAGACCAAATGCTTAAACTGAAGAAAGGAATCAGGAACTTGAAATAGGAAGGAAAAAGCCAGTTTTTCCTACAACAATGTAAAATCACAACAGAGAACAACTAATTCAATTGTCTTGGGATAGTTGATCATTTACTTGTTTTATCTCTGACTTCATGCATAATTAAAGTAAACACTATCCTGATTAACCTTAATCTTGTTTAAAATGAGAAAACCGTACCAACTGGAACTACCTTAGTGATTAATTCTTTTATTAGGCATCTCTAAAATTACAGTATGGTATTTCCATGAACAGTGCTCTATTATAATGAGAGTGCTCAACCCTGAAGATATGAGAGAGATTTTAATTTAAATCTCAGGGGTGTCATTCATGCACTTTACCAGCAGAGTTATTAAATTAGGTAATCTCTTTGTTTCTTGGGAAAATATCGAGATTGTAAAATGTTGTGATGTATGATAACCAGAGCCATGAAATATGCTGCAAAAATGAAAACTAATATAATCATTCTAATGATTCTATCCAAGACATGGGTTACTCTCAAAGTGTGAGGAGGGTGTTTTTAATAATCCAGTACAGGTTGTAAAGGCATCACAAGCCTCCTATCATCATACCTAGTGACTGGGTCTCATTACTGCCCCCCTACAGGACACCTGTGGCAACGTCTGGAATGAGGGTCACAGCCTGGAGGTTGGGGGGAGAGGGAGTCATCTACTGGTATCCAGTGGGTGCTACCACCCATCTTGCCAGGGACAGGACAATCCCCCACCACAAAAAATCCTCCAGCCTAAAAACTCGGTAGTGTCGAAGTTGAGAATTCCTGGATTAGCCCGAGATATCCCAAAAAAGGGTGTAACAAACCATGGCCAGAGGATGTCCCAACACTTCCCCTATATTTTGGAACAAATTAGACTGTTTATCCATCTCAGACTGCTGACTCAGATAAAATACCAGTTTTCTCTTAAAATTTCTTTTTGCTCATTTCATTATTTGTTGTAATTCTCGTTTTACCAAACATTTATGCAATGCTCACGATGTGCCAGGCACTTTTTTTAAAGCACTTTACACATAGTGACTCAAGTTGAGGGAGGGAGTGTCATTATCCCATTTTTAACATATGAGGAATCTAGAGTAGGGAGAGAAAAGACAGGCCAGGAGGCAAATCCAGGTTGTTTTGGGATTAACAGTCTGTATTCTTCATGTTTAGGCTATGAAACACTGAAATGGTGTTGAAAAACTCAACCTACTGCTTCCCCAGGTCTAATCACTGCTTCCTCAGCATTTTCCAAAGTCCAATCTCATCAGCAAGGCCTCTCCCTGCTCCTTCTCAGGGTTGACCCTCTGTTACCCTGTGATCCTGGTGAGTGTTGGATAAAGATGATGAAAACCACATGGGTCCCAGTACCTTCTGCTCAAGGCCCATTAGATGCTTCTTGTGTACTTACCTAGTGTACAGATTCAATTCCTAACCCTCCCAAATCTTTGGGGCTGTGCGTTATTTTCTCCATTTTTACACACAAACCTAAGTCAAAGTCAGTAGCAGACCAAAGATTTGGAGTCCTATTCCCATCTCTAAAACCTGAGTGTTTCTACATCACTATGTCAATCAAGAAGTACATCTCTCAGGTGCTTCTTAAGTGGGAATTAAAGCAGATGAAAGTATCAGCATTCAGTCTCCCAGGATGACCAGGGGGTGACTGGCAATGAACACGGTGCAATTTCAAGCCATTGAACTGTGTTTCATTTCATTTTGCTTTGAAAGGAGGTTGAATTGTTGTCAGTATTTCCAAAAATTGGGAACTTTTCCACATGACTTTTTTTTGGATTTCTGTTTTCTCCTGGAAAATCAGGCAGATCTGTCAGCACGTGCTGATGTGCATTCCTGGGAGGCAAACATCAGCACATTGTCTGCAGTTCATCAGCTCTACAGACACACGTGTCCCACCAGCCAAGCTTCTCAGTTCTACAACACCAGGCATGAGGTTGCGGGATGATGTGGGCTCCAGTTTAGATTCAGAAAATGGTTCCAGCTATTGCTCCATCCCTCGACTATCACAGCCACACTGAGAATCACTCCTTCACAGGTTTTGGTTTCTGTCCACCATACCTTTTCCAGAGCAGCAGCTCTTAGCTGCACACAGGAAAACCCTAGTGATTACTATTCACTGCAGGAATGACAGGCCACTCTAAACAGGGCAGCAGCAGAACAAAAAGACAAAAGCCAAACCCAACCCAGCATGTTACCTGCTGAAGGTTAACATCTTATAAGCACCAACTGTGGGCAGGAGCCTTACTTGGGGTTATTGCAGTGTCTCTCCTGATACTTGACTCCTCCACCACAAGTTCGGGAACATTCTGACCACTTCGACCAGGGGGACCACTGGCCATGGATGGGCCGGGGCCCATGCTCCCCAAGCTTCACACACTGGCCTTGCCGACACCACTGTGAAAAGAACATGCAACACATTTCCTGTCAGAGGCCACCTTGGGAAAGCTGAATGAGAGGCAAACACCTACCTGTGAACAAGAAAAACCAGTCTGCAGGCAAAGGGGAAAACAAAGGACCCAAAGGACTGGTGGGAGAATTCTTTTGCTGCCTGCATTTATAAACATCAAGTTCCGCTTTGACCATGTGCAATTTCTGAGACTGACATCTCAAATCTGTCACCCACAGGCAGAGCATCAGATACTCAGGCACCCCAAGAGCACCCGGAGTCAGCACAGACACCACACCAGAGACTTCCCCTGTTGCTCAGAAACAGCCCTGCTTAAAGGACAATTTGGAGAATGAGTGTTCTTTGATCACGGAATTTACTGATCTGAATAATGATCTCATCTTAAAAAGAGATATAAAGATGTACATTTATTCCAAACCATGCCCTGGAAAGCATTTCTCATGAAACTGAGTAACTTTCAGTCTAAGCAAATTGTGCTCTCAGAGTTCGCCCTTTGCCTTATTTTTCTTTTTCTTGTGTATGTGCCCCTAGGTCTGATGCTGAGCTGAGTGTCTTGTCTGAATCAGCTCTGGTCTCTCATGTGCCAATGACTGGCTCAAGCTTGGGCAGAAGTGTTTGCTGTGCTAACTGTTCTGTGCTACTTCTCCACTGGAAAACATTCCAGGCTTCCCTGGTCATCTCTGTCCTTGGGGCTGCATGAGCCTTTGGTGGTGGTTATTTTTTCATCTGTGGTGCTTTTATTATGAGCAAGTTCTGCATGACTTAGCACACTTTCCTAAAAGCCTCTGCAATTAGATCCAAAGACTTTGGGTTTGGACTGTGCCAGGCTCAGCCGAGGAATTAGGGTTTGGTTAAAGAATTATGGGGAGGTTGTCTGACTTTCAGATCTTCACTTGGCTTCAAGTGAAGCCACTTGGTGATGCATTTGGCTTCGTGGCTGTTTATTATGAGGCTAGTGTGCTTTGTCTAGGTCGAGATACTGCTTCCTTTCTTCAAGTTCTTGCCATGTGCTGATTAATTCTTCTGTTTCTGATTTTTCTTTTCCAAGAATTAATTGCCATTTCAGAGCTTGCACGAAATCATATAACCTTGTTGAGAACTTTTAAGAGGAAGGCAATCAGTCATTTGTGGATTCTGTCTACCCTAAGCATGAATCTGGATCTCTGGGACCAGGAAATCTCTGGGACTCTTTTGCCCTTAGCTCAGTGGTGGAGACAAAGTGACAATAACAGCAACAGCCAGCAGCTAGAACAACAGCCAACAACAAGAACAATAGCCAACAGGAACAATAGCCAACAAGAATAGGCAACAACAATAAAAATAGACAACAAAAAGAAAAGCCAACAACAATGAAAATAGCCAGCAACAACAGACAACAAGAGCAATAGCCAGCATCAACAACAGTAGCAGCAACAGTAGTTACAGTTTATGAAAAGTTGCTTTTTATGTGCCAAAATCGGTGCAGGTAGGGGACAGGTTGAGAAGGGGAACTTCACGTATAGCAGCTAATAAAATCCTTGCCAGGATTATAGTTAATGGTTAATAATGATTTTCTGGGTGAGAGAAACTTAGCAAAGAAATACTCACTTGCCTAGAGTCAAAGAGTTGCTTGAATATCTACAACTACAGCTGAGACTAGATTTAAATAAACTCAATAGCCAAAGCTCTTCAAATACTTCTCAACTTGTAGACAAAGCACCTACCAATGTAGCTTCACTTGAGTCTAATTTCTTTGTCACAGATGTGGTTCTTACACATGTTCCAACCCTTCAGCTAAACTGACTTTCTTTTATTCCTGTTATCGTTGTAGGCTTGGGTAGATGGATGACAGATCATCTCCTCTGGTTTTCTCAATTAGCACAGAAATGAAGACTAAATAGAATATACGCACAGACATGCACAGTGCACACATCTGTATAAAGTTCTATATACACAACTCATGTGCATGGTTTTATCAGTCTACACATACATATTTCTTTTTTTTTAATTTTAATTTTTTATTTGCTTTTATCACACCCTGGCCATTAATTACAAGCAGCAATAGAAATATGTATACATATTACAAATATGTATATATATTTCTATATATACATGTATACATATTTCTATGTATACATATTTCTACATATTACAAATATGTATACATATTTCTATTGCTGTTTGTAATTAATGGCCAGGGTGTGATAAAAGCAAATAAAAAAAATTAAAATTAAAAAAAAAGAAATATGTATGTGTAGACTGATAAAACCATGCACACATACATATTTCTATTGCTGCTTGTAATTAATGGCCAGGGTGTGATAAAAGCACAGGGATTTCAAATGAAAATCACATTGCGTATTTGTGGTTCGACTATTATGGAAGGACCAGCAATTTGAAAGAGATGGGGAAGCATCCAGTCCAAACGAGCAAAACATGGAGCATTTACTACTCTGCAAGAGACCTCAAGTAAAACACTAGTAAGGTGAGGCCCTGACAACACTGGTGACAGCCAATCCCATCCACCAGGGAAGGAAGTCTTGGTTAATCCAAAATATGAATGCAGTGATAACTATACTGGAGTAATGATAGGCGGGACTTATCACCATGCTTTCTAATGGTGTTTTAAAACTGTGAGGTGGAGGAAATGGTACAAGAGCATCGATTTTCTAACTTCTGGTTTGATCTGTCTCAGATTAACTGAAATCTAATTCATTTTCGTTCCCATGGAATTAGATCCCAGGTGTATTTATGTAATAAATTCAGCCCTATAGTATTAATCACTTATTTTCCTTATTTATGCTATTAATTCTTTCTAATGTTTTCTCTTACATTGTTGCTTTCTTTTTTCTTTTTTTTTAAAGATTTATTTATACGAGAATTGGGGTACAGGCCAGAGAATTCACCAGAGACAGAGTGGGGAACAGAACAGGCAGACAGACTGAAAACACTGCTGAGGGGAGCAGTGGGCAAGACAGGAGAGGTCTGCAGCGCCATGTGGGTATCTCCTTGCCGGCCGGGAATCGAACCCATGCTGTAGAGGCTGCGGACAGCTTCACAGTGCTGCGCGCTCAACCCGCTACGCCAAAGGGGAGGCCCTTACATTGTTGCTTTCTTAAAGAAAAAAGTGTCCAGTAACTTAGTTGTAAGTTCTAAATTTTGATGCTTTGCAACTATGAAAGACTTCAAATGTGTTTCTATTTTCACTGACTTGATTAATTTTATCACTGTACTACAATACTCTTATGCACATTTGCAATGTGCATTCAGGGGCATCCTAAGACCCAAACACCTGGTTAAAAATTGCACCTAATAACTCCATTTAAAGAATGTTTTTCTTTAAGAAAGAGTTTAGAATGATGAGTCTTTTCCCCCTCCTTCTAAGGATTAATCTTTTAAGAGATACTGAGTTAACGCCTTAATACCAGAAAGTATTCTCTGAACACTCATTTGTTATTGCACCTGTATCTTTGCTTTTATTGAAAGTCTTTCTCTCTCAACTTTAATCTCAATTCCAATATCCATCTTGATATACCCACTCACTGGAGTTTATTCTAATGCATACCTAATCCCAAGAAGGATTAGGTTGGGGCCTTAACAGCAACTCCATCCTTAAAGAGAGTTACTGCTTCCTCACAATTTTCCCCCACTGGACTGTGAATTCTTAAAGAGGGAAAACTGAAGTTTATTTTTGTTTGTATCCGCAGAACCTCCTGGCCCTAATATCTAGCTAATAAATCAGTTATTGAGGAACAGAATTCACTTTTAATGACCAATTCTTCCAGACAGCTTTATGCTACCCTGAGAGAGTCAATGGCAGAGATCAAAAAACCCATATCCTCTTAGGTCTTCTCATCATTCACAGCTCCTCTATCAGTCCTTCAAAGAAATGCCCCAAGTCTGTATCATTTACTGGTACCTCAGCTGCACTACTGGGAAAGGAGAAGAAAAATGGGAACTAATGCTTCAGAGCTCTTCATTCAACACACAGAACTTCCCAGAAACTTCCATTCTGGAAATGGCTCTCAGAAGATGCTTGCTAGCAAACAGACTTCCTCATGCAACCCAGATGGGCATGCCAGTGATGGGTCATGTAAGGTAAGGAGAAGAAGTCTTGGTGTGGAGGCCCAATCTCTTTTTTTCTCTGAATGGGAATCTGTCCCAAGTGGCTTTATTATACTGAATTGAATTTAAAAAGCAATTTTTTTTTTGTTTTTGCATAGAAGAACTGGGGTACAGGCCAGAGGTGCAGGGGGTAAGAGGATTCACCAGAGACAGAGTGTGGAGCAGAACAGGCAGATTTATTGAAATACACTGCTAAGGGGAGCAGCAGGTGAGACAGGAGAGGTCTGCTGTGAAAAAGGCAAATGGTTTCTAAGGACAGCTACCAGCCCATTGAAATAGAAATATTTTTGACCCAAGCTTCTATCTATAACAGGAAAACAAAGGACAGAAAGAAAAAAAAAGATCTTAAGCAATTTGAGCCAGCTGAGTAATAATCAGCATTGGGTGTTTCTAGTAGCTGCTAGATACTACTAGTTAAAGAGAAGTCAGAAAACATATGCAACTGAGGCATTCCATTCTAAGTTCATGGAAGAAAAAGTCTGGGTTCTTGGCCTTATCAAGTTAGGAGAACTAAAAACTAACAAGTATGCAGTTTACCATACTCAAGCCACAGACGGTCCCTTCCGCTGCCGGCATAAACTTGGTCTCACACCTGTGGCCCACTCGGTGGCACCAAAGTGATTTGCAAATGTCCTGAAAGGAAAGAAGGGACTGGTAAGGGTGATGATCAATGGAGGCGTATCATAGGTTTGACATACAATTTTGTATTTTGAGTAGTCTGACGTGAGACAAGTGATCTGGGAAGTGGAGGTCACTGAAGTTGGTAGCAGCCAGATGCCCCATGTTAAGTGCTAGGAAAGCATGAGCAGGCAGTTTCTACACTACGGTCATAGTCTGTGTGGTTAGTGATGACTGGGAGGTAACTGTGAATTCAGAGAACACTGGATTTGAAACTAAAAGACCTGGCAGCATCATCCAGTGAAGCAGAGTAGGCTAAGACTACAATAAAGCACATCTACTTCAAATCCTGGTCCTGGCATTCCAGGTTGCATGCCCGATGGACACGTGACAGTAGCCTCAGAAGCTGCAATTTCCTCACCAGACAAACAGTAGTAAAATCATCACTTGCCTCTTAAGGTTATTCCCAAGGTTAAATGGTGTTCATGATCTGCCTATTACCTTCTTCATATATATAGTAACTTTCAAGCATTCTGATGATTCTCACACTAGAACTATGAAATAATTGACTGCAGTCAATGCCCCCCCCCCCAAAATGAGCTTGCTTCATCTCTGGAGCATGTATATATGTTAAGTTATAAAGCAAAGTAGAACTAAAGTTGCAGATGGCATTAAGGTGGCTAATCGGTTGACCTTGAGATGAGAAGACTATGTTAAGTTTCCCAGATGTGCCACCAGGTAATCCCGAGGGTCATTAATGGGGAAGAGGAAGACAGAGATAATCAGAGAGATGGGCAGCAGGTTGAGGAATTAGAAGGAGGTTGCTGGTTGTGAAGATGGAGGATGGAATGCCAGAAGCTTCTGGTAGCTGGAGAAGTTAACAAAATTGTTTCTCTTCTAGAGCCTCTCAAAGGAACACAACCTCACCTTGATTGTAATCTAGTTGACCTTATTTCAGACGTCTACCTCTAGAAGTGTATGAAAATAAGTTTGTGTTGTTTTAAGTCACTAAGTTTATGGAAATATATTACAACAGCCTTGCAAAATTTATACCGTGACCAACATCCTTTAATGGTAGACACTCAATTACAGTTACTGACTTTGTCAGTAGGTTCTTGGAAGTCAACATTTTTATCAAAATGATGTACAACAAAACCACGTCTATGAATAATGAGGTTTTGTTCAACATTGGCTGGATATTTTTCCCTCATCAATGTTATAACTCTGAATGTTGAATAAAAAGGTCATTATTCGAGGACCAGCTGATTTTTTGCATATAAGTTCATTTAGATGAGGTAACTGAGCATGCCACTGTCACTTTCAAAGCTATGAACACACAGGTGGTTAAGTGGCAGAGGCAAAAACTCAAGCTGGCCTGATTCCAGAGTCCAAGTTCATGACTGCTACTTTAGAACTGGATTTGCCACTGATAAATGCTGGAAAACTCTACACTTTCAGGCTTCCATTGCCTATCTGTAGAATAAAGGGACTGATATAGTTTCCTTCCAGGTCAAACAGCTGAATTTGCTATTCAGAATCACTGAAAGAATAACTAAGTCATGAGCTGCCAAAGAGGCCCCGTTTTGTTTGCCACATTCTACTGACTGAGGTAGAAATGGGGAACATAGATTCTGGGGAAAATATTAACAACCAGGGAGGAAACAAAATGATTTTTGTGGTTACCTGTTGTAACCCTGAGAATTCAATTAACCAGGCACCCAATTCCCCCAAGTGTTCCTGCTAATATAGATTTCATGGCTAAAAATTATGGCAAGCTCATGCTTAGAAATATTTCACACATGAAAAGTTTCCACAGGACTGAAAAAAAAAATAAACAGGGAAATCAGTGATATAGGCAGTGAGTCTGGTCTTGTAGACCTTAAAATTCTTCCCCCACCAAAAGAAATGGAAGGATGGTCATGACATCTTCTTGGGAAACACCAGCAGCAGCAGCAGTGCCTGACAGGGGCCATATATCTCCAAACAGCTCAGAAGACCCAATGTATAAATGTTCTCCATGGAAACAGGCCTGCCCCTGACATTGGTAGAAAGCATGGTGCGGCTTTCCAGTGAATTGTGTTCATGATCTCTTCCTGTATTATCTGCCCCTGGGTCCAAGGGGAACAGTTTAATATGGAAAAAGAACATTCTACATCAAAGTGGAGGGATGAGAGGTTACCACTGACACAATTAAAACCACTGATAGATAGGCTATCAAAATTAAATTGTTTTTCATCTTACAGCCAGGGCAAAGCCATAAGCCACATCAATAGCCTATGTGGTGGCCAATACAGTGACCGTAGGGCTGGACCAAAGCAAAAGACCCCTAGATTCCACCATCAATGCCAAGCTACAAGGCCAAGGAAAGGGAGCTGGAGAGGACCAGGAAAATCAAGCAAAACACAAAAACACAGGGATTTCAGAGTGAAATAAGACAGGCTATATGAACATGTTATTTCTTTTGTGGTGAAGTACAGAAGTCAAATGTAATTATAGCCAACTACATGCTTTGATGACCATGAAAGTCCTCTGAGAAAGCTCCTTTTCAAAGTAAACAAAAAATGGGAGTTTGCATTTTTTTGCTCATTCTTCCTTCTTTTTCTCCCTGGCATATTCAAGTAACTTTTCCTTATCTATAATTCCCTAGTGTTGGGTCATAATTTAAGGGAGAAAAAAATAACCACAGAGACTCCAGGGTCTCATGTTGCCTGGATGTGATTTTTAAAGGAAGAGTCTGCATGATGTATGTTATTTTGTTGTCACTTGTTGCCCACGATCTCCACTTGTGTTCTTAAGGATGGATGCCTGGCGCCAAGTGAAACCTGACATGCTGGTAATTTTTTTTAAAAATTTATTTATTTATTTATACAGGACCCGGGGTATAGGCCAGATGCATGGGAGGATGAGTGGATTCACCAGAGACAGAGCGGGGAACAGAACAGGCAGACTGATGAAATACACTGCTGAGGGGAGCAGCGGGGGAGACAGGAGAGATCTGCTGCGCCATGTGGGACCCTCACCTGCCAACCAGGATCGAACCGGTGCTGCAGAGGCTGCAGACAGCTTCACAGTGCTGCGTTCAACCATCTGCGACACCAGGGGAGGCCCCTGCTGGTTATGTTAATGGTACTTGCAAATCAAATTTTATAAAGCATCCCCAAACTAAACACCCCAAACCAAGTTCTTTATCTTCTGTCCACCCAAACCTGTTCCATGTTCAGTCTTCTCCAGGTCACTTTATAATACCCTGATACTTGCGGTTACTGAAGCCAAATATCCTATAGTCATCATTGAGATTCTTTCTTTGTCCCACGTTCCATGCAGAAATCTTCCACTAGATCAGGAAACTGCATTGGTTCTATCTTCAAAATATTTACAGAATCTGAACAGTCATTGCCACTTGCATTGCTACCATTTTGTTCCACTTCATTCATGGATTACTATTATATCCTCTTTACAAGCACTCCACTTCCACCTTGTCCATCCTTAGCTAGTTCATCCTTAGCATGGTAACTAAAATGGTAGGTATTGGACTGTCCGATACAGTAGCCACCAGAACATGTGGTATTTCAGTGTGAATTTAAATTAAAATTTCATTCATACTTCAAGTTCTCAATGGTCATCATATATGGTAAGTAGCTACTTATATAGGTTCTATATGGTGAGTGGCTGCCATATTGAATTCCATCATTACAGAGCATTCCATTGGACAGTACTGAGATAGAGTCTTTCAAGTCAACTCAGTGAGATCACAGGACTTTTCTGCTGAAGACCATGTAATGGCTTCTCATTTCGCTGGGAAAAAGTAAAAAGTCCTTGTATCACCTAACAAGCTACATATGATCAAGTCTCATTTCATCTTCTGACCAATGTCCTATGAGTGTATCACTTGCTCACTCTGCTCTGATAGCATTGGTTTCCGTGTTGATCCGCAAATGTTTCAAGCTTTCTCCAAACTTGGAGCAACTCCAAACTTACTACAAACTTCTCCAAACCTGCGTTTTATTCTATTTCCCCAACTGTCTGAACTGCTCTTTTGGAGCTCCTTCAAGTCTGCCTTAATTTCCCCTCCTGCCACATGTAATCAGCCACCGACCTAATCAGTTTCCTAATGTCCCTTATTCTATTCTACCTATGCTCTGCAATTCTGATCTTCCAATTTACTATATCACTAATTTTTAATGTCTATTGTGTATTGTCTGTCTCCCCCATTGGAAAGTCAATGTCACAAGGGTAGGTTATTTTGTTGTTTTTTTCTTTGATGTACCCCCAAGCCCTTAGAACAGGATGTGGTACAAAGTAGGGATTCATAAATACTTCCTAATAAATCCACACATGACTGAAAATTATTTATAATTGGAAAGTGTTCACTTGTAATAAAGACTTTGAAATCCTTAAGGAAGTTTTCAAGAATAAAAATATGAGGGTTTTTTTTGTAGCATAAAACCTGGTAGCACAAGGGGTTAAGACGCCAGCTATGAAGTTATTTGCAGCCACTGCAGCACGAGTTTGATCCCTGGCCAGTGAGCTACCCACATGGTGCAGCAGACCTCTCCTGACTTGCCCACTGCTCTCCTCAGCAGTGTATTTTAGTCAGTCTGCCTGTTCTGTTTCCCACTCTGTCTCTGGTGAATCCTCTTACCCCCTATGCCTCTGGCCTGTACCACAGTTCTTATATGCATAAATAAATAAAACTTTTTATTATAAAAAATGTTAAAGAATCTGGCACTTTTGATATGCAAAAAAAAAAAAAAATGGATGCTGCTAAGAATTTTCCCTAATAAATCCTACAGTTAATCACTGAGTATCTGTGGGCATATCAGATAAATGGTAGGCACTTTGAGATAGTATCTTCTGGAGCAAGAAATATAGATATCTTCTGGAGCAAGAATGTACAAGAAAGGTAGTAGCATGAGCTTACAAAAGTGGCGATTGAGCCCAGAGAAAAGAATGTTTAACCTCCTTGGGGAATCTTTACCAACAATAAGAAATAATTAGCTATTTGTCACATGGATGTCTAGGCTAGGAAACCTGTATACAAAGGTTCATACACATGACAGCAGGAAATGTTTGAAAAGCATACAAGGACATTAAAAGAATTGGGACCTAAGTCCCCAGTGTAGTAAGCAGATTATGAAGTCAGAGTGATTTAGACACCAAGCAGCGCCTCTTCATTTTCCATTCTTGTTCCCAATGTAAAACTCTTAAAGGAAAAAATGAGCCCATCCAATTACCTATGGCATGCCTTGTCCTTCAAAGGAAGTGCTCTCTGAGGTGATATGCCTGCAAATAGTCACTAGAATTCAAGTACCTTCATTTTTATTCCGTCTCAAATCCTGTTGTTGTGTCTATAAATGAAGGTTTACTGAGTTTCTGCTCTGTGACAGTAATTTTTCAGGTGACTGAGGCATACAGCAAAGACTGCTCAAGTCTCACTTAGTAAAATAACCACTGGAGGTGTTGATCAGAGCCTGGGACATGTTGGCCAACAGCATCCATTCACTTCTAAGTCAGGGAGCATTTAATAAGGGTGTAATCACCATGTTCTCCCCATTTGCTAGACAGGGAACTCTCTTAACACGTGGAGCCATCAGCCGGATCAACAACTCCTTTTCTGGGACACTTCAAAAGGCAACAGAGACCAGGCTTGAAATACCAAAGACAAAGAAAATGAAAGTTTGGGAAGAGGCATGGGAGATGAAAACTCGCCAGCCTCAGATGCTTTGGTGAGGAAGCCACTTTGCAAGAACAGGAGTGATGTGGTGCTGATGGTGTTGAGAGGGAGGGAGACAGCAAGAAGAAAACCTTGTTTTTCACTGAGTGGTGCCACTGACCCAAGGGATTCCTCCCTACAGATCCTAGGGAGGAGCTAACATTATCCTCCTCTGATGTGGACACAAAAGCTGGGAGTGCTTAAGTCATCTGCACAAGGCTCTGTGAAGTAAGCCCAGGTCTAACAACAAACCCAGATTGTGGTGTGTGTATGTGCAAACGGAAGGTTAATTCAGCAGTGTTCAACCTTTACCACACAGAAGAATCATCTTATTAAACCCTCATTAAAATATAGATTACCAGGTCCTCCTCCCCAAGTATCTTATTCCTCAGGCCTGAGAGGAGCCCCAAGCACCTCAATTTCTAACACTTTCCAGGTGATAATGACACAGGGCATCTGCTGGTTGGGGAGGATACTGAGAACAATAATAATAATAATAATAATAATAATTTTATTATATAATAATATTTCTATAATATAATAATAATTATTGTATCTATTATTATTATTATTATTATTATTATTATTATTATTATTTTGGTGTTTCTAGCCAGTAGGGAACCTGCCTTTCTAGGAGACACAGAGAACAAGGTGATAGGCAGTGAAGAAGTGAAAGTTAGAAAGGGAAAGTCATGATAGGACTATGAAGAACCTGAAAATAAACTTCATTCTTTTCCTGCATTGGATCTGTATCTGCTGCACTGTTTAGCCCAATAGAACGAATAGGTGATTTCAGTGTTTTGGAAATCCGTCCTAGGTAGGGCCTGTTGGGAATGATTTAAGATATTCAAAGCTGTAGCCATGGGTCCAGTTATAAACAGGATTAAGACTAATACCTAAAACTAGGCTGTGGGGGGAAAAGATACCACATTCAGGGCCCCAGCCCCCACAGCCCTAGCTTCTCTATGTCACCTCAGCAACATCACAAATGATCTTTCCCTGCCCTAAGACATTCTGATCTTTCTTCCTTTCCTCATTTTATTCTTCAAGTCTGGTATTTCCACTTCTCTCTGCTCTGCTTCTCAGGGAAGATCATCAGGCTGAGAACTGTGCAAAATGTCATGTGGTCCCATAAAGGTGTAGACTTTAAGAGTGGTCGTTTAAACTCTGCACAGGGCCTCCCTGGTGGTGCAGTTGGTTGAGCGCTGCACTGTGAAGCTGTCCGCAGCCTCTGCAGTGTGGGTTCAATCCTGGCCAGCCGGCAGAGAATCCCACATAGTGAAGCAGACCTCTCCTGTCTTGCCAGCTGCTACCCTCAGCAGTGTATTTCCTCAGTCTGCCTATTCTGTTCCCCATTCTGTCTCTGATGATCTCTCACCCTCCTGCACATCTGGCCTGTACCCTGATTCTTGTATAAATAAATAAATCTTTTAAAAAAATAAACTCTGCACATTGTTTGATATAGAAAGGTCACCTCAAAATTCTGGTTGTATGTATGACCCTAAAGGAATGATAGCAATTTTGGGGACCTCCTTTATACTTTTAGATGAGATGGGGTGCGTGCAGGGAGGTATAGCTATAGATCCTTTATACTTTTAAAGTAAACCAAACCCATTACCAATTGGACATTTACTGCATAGGATGTACTTACTAAATACTTGATTGCTGAATGAGTAAGCTAGTGAATCTTTCTAGAATAAAGCAAACAGGAGACAAACTTTTTTAGCAAAGTGAACAGCTACTTGCTTCTGCCTTAAGTACCAACTTAACAGGTATATGACACAGCAGCATTTGCCAATGTGAGGTCTGTGAACCATGGAGGATACATTAAAAATAATGCTTGATGGTGGATGGCTAAACTTTTCTTATAGATATACATTTAAATTATAGGAGATATGTTTATTACAGCACTATTTACAATAGCTAAGATTTAGAAAGAACCTAAATACACCAAAAGAGATGACTGGATCAAGAAGATGTGGTATATATACACAACGGAATACTACTCAGAAATAAAAAAGATAAATTCACGCCACTTGCAGCAACATGGATGGTGCTGAAAGGGATCATGCTCAGTGCAATAAGTCAGAAGGGAAAAGAAAAGTATTGGATGTTTTCACTTACAGGAAGAATATAGGGGAACCAAATAAGGGATCGGGGGCGGGGGAAAGGACAAAACTAGCAGGCAACTATAAATCAGAGACATTCAGGAGGGGAAGAGCAGGGAGAGGGATTATATAGGGGCAGGAAGAGCACAAGAGACTATGGTGATGGTGCACAGATGACTTGGTGGTGGGAATTTTATGGGCATAACACCTGAGAGGAGAAAGCAAACTGTACAAAAATAAATAATGATGTAATATATAGAGAGAGCGAGAGGGAGAGAGAAATTAAAAAAAAATAGGAGAAACATATGTAATCCCCTATCAAAGCTGTGATTTGTTGGTTATTATTTCTCAGAACTGGAGTTACTTTTTTTAAGTGACTTAAAATATAGAAAAGCAACAATAATACAGAGATATAGCACAAACAATGAAGGGAATTGTTAATGACTGAATGTTAGTTAATCCTGATGACAGGAGTTTAGTTGATGCTGATATTAACTAATGGAGAGAAGGAGCTGAATGCTGGTGTTGAGTGATATGCTGTGTTTAGATTCCACCGTTCAAAAGTTTTGTGAATTGGGAATAAATGCATACATTCTCTGGGCTCCGGGTAAAACATGGTGATAGTTCACAGTTCAAAGGGTGTTTGTGAAGATTGAAGAAAAATATAAGGAGTCTCTAAGTAGAATGCCTTATGGAGAGGAGAGGCTCACTTAGCCATGACTGGAGGTGATGGTGGGTGGTGAGAGAAGAGGGATGATGATGGTTGTGGTAGAGCCAGTAGTGTTGGTGATGTGGAGGTGATGGTGGAGGTGGTCCTGTTGATAAAGATGGTGGTTATGGTCATAAAGGGGGTAGTGGAGGTGGAGGAAAAGGAAGAGAAAAAGGAAGAGTAGGAACAGAGATGGAAAGAGATTCAATAAACCATTGGTTTCAAGATGCAGATACTTGGGATCTCCATGTTTCGTTTCGAACACTAGGACTACATGACTTTAAAACGATTCTGTTTTTTAATGATGGTGAGATACAGTGATTGACTATGATGCTGCCTCTTCTTTCCACACTCTGGACTTTTGCTTTTTCCCATCTATCTTTCTCACACTACTGAATGAAATATTTGATGCAAAGTCTTACTGAGATCACTCAAGTTACACCTTGCATCACCACATTAAAAAGTTGGCTACTGGCAACAGTGCTCACATACTGTGAAAGGCATATATGGATGTATTTTGAGGTGATGGTGATTTTAAAAGTATGACATCAAAAGGGCATAAGAACTCAGCCATAACAAAAACATTGACAAGCACTAGGGAAAAGCTATTTGCGCCCAGATTTACTACTTGTGAGAATCTTTGTCTACAGAGGAGGAATTTTCTTGCAAAGATGCAGAGTCCAAAGTATTTTAACCTGGCCTGGCCCATGGGGGATAAAGCCTGAGAATTCATTGACAGCAAAATTGCCACTTAATTATCATGCCAAACAACTGACATTTAGAGATAACCCAGACACTGACCCTTGGCCTTCGCAAACCAAATGTTTATACTACTGTTAGGTATACAGACAACCACTGAATCTTAACGTAACTTTGAAATCACAAGCCAACATACCTTCACAAAACCAAGGCTGCATAACTTGGCTTTTGCTCCAAATTGCCACTTGCACTGGGTGTCCGCATCATAAATCTGTCCTGGTAGTTTGTCTGGATATTTATATCGTCCTGTTTGCTTGGGCTCGTCCACCAGACACCCAGCCTGAGGAGTGCTGTGGGGACAATACAGCCTTATTAATTCCTGTTTCTTCTGTGTTCTTCCCACTTCAAACAACTGACCCTTGAATGCATTCATCCCAAGGGAAATACAACATGACTACAGAAATAAGCACATGCCTAGGGCCTCCCTGGTGGCACAGTAGTTAAGTGCTGGGCTGGGAAGCTGTTTGCAGCTTCTGCAAACCAGTTTGATCCCCAGTCGCCGTGAGGGTCCCACATGGCACACAGACCTCTCCTGCCATGCCTGCTGCTCCCCTCAGCAGTGTACTTTGTCAATCTGCCTGTTCTGCTCCCCGCTCTGGCTCTGGTGAATTCTCTCACCCTCCAGAGCTTCTGACTGTACCCAGTGCTTTTATAAATAATAAACAAATAAAACTTTTTTTTTTAAAAGAAATAAGCACATGCCTAAAATGAAAATGCCTATTTGTTAAAAAAGGGTGAGCCCTGTGCTGGCTAGAAGGATGGAACTGCCCCAGCCACAAAGCGTTTCCCATGGTCCCACAGGCATGGCCATGATTTGGTAGGGTCTGCTAAGAGATGGGAAAGGTCACATATCTGAAAACTTTCCCCAAGGTCACATTCAACAATATTCAACAAATTAATTCCTGTATCAGCATTAGGTGGAGCACTTAAGGTACAACATCAACCTGTCTTCATGGAGTAGAAAGTCATGCAGATAACAGGGCAGAGGTGAAAGGTACTTTACCTCAAATAACCTTTACAGGCAAAATATGAATAAGGTTATTGAAAGAAATCAGGAGGAAGCAAGCTTTGGAGCGTAAGGCAGAATAATTTCCCTGCAGATACTTAATTGGACTGTGTAACAGGTTTGCAACTCAGTAGCTCCGTGGCTTTAATGCAACACAATTTACCAAATTCCTCAAATCTAGAATAATAAGATTGCTCTGAGGATGGAATAAGGCAATATGTGAAGAGTGTCTAGCACAGTGTTAGGTCTTAATTCCATTTTTCATCAACAACAACGACATCCTCATCATCATTGGAATTTGTCAGTCTTTGTGTTCATTGAGGTGTCAAGAGATTTTTCCATTGTTTTCCCACCTATATAACCTGTTCTCCGTCACCAATTTAAACAGGAATGTTTTTGGTTTGGCCCTATCTTACCTAAGGAATTTCTTGAGATACTGTCGACTGCAGGAAGACCATGAAAACACCCCGTTGTTCCCCATCAACGTGGGAGACATGATGTTGCCTTCAGCCTTTCGACAGGGGTTGCCTTCTCCATCATGAATCATGCCAAAGCTGAACCAAAATGAAGAGAATAAAAATGCCTTGTGTGAACCCACTTTCCAAATTATCACGAGAAGAAGAAAAAGATGCATTGAGAACCAATGAATCCAAGTGAGAGGTACTTATGGAAATTTTTAAGGTTTTTAATTTCTATTTATTTATGCATATAAGAACTGGGGTACAAGCCAGAGGTACAGGGGGCGAGAGGATTTACCAGAGACAGAGTGGGGAGAAGAACAGGCAGATTGACTAAAATACACTGCTGAGAGGAGCAGCGGGCAAGACAGGAGAGGTCTGCTGCATCACATGTGGGTTAGCTCCCTGGCCAGGGATCTAACTTGAGCTGCAGTGGCTGCTGATAGCTTCATAGTGCTGAGACTTAACCTGTTGCACCACCAGGGAGGCCCTCAACTGGAAAATTTTTAAGAATTCTCAGAGTTTTGTAATATGTCTTGGCCTTCAGCTCAAGCCATGGGGTACCTGGTACATATTTTGGGTTATGTAACTTTGGTCAAGATTTCTGAGTTAAAAGTGACAAGAGAGTTAAATTCTTTTATTTCAATTTGGGAAATTCTTTTCACCAATCATGGATGTGTGGTAAGGAAGTTCAGAGGGAGTGGGAGGGAGGTATAGAGAGAAGATGATTATTATAAGTTTTTATGAACTGTTCATTCATAACGCTAGTGTAACAGAAAAACCCTTTAATGAAGATCAATTTACTAGCTGAAATCATAAACTCTGATTATAATTTAAACCCCCTATAATCATGAACATTTTTAACAAGTAATGGTTGGACTCATCTACTGAAGGCATATAAAGGACTTCTTTTCGGTATATATTATATGAGAAAACTTGGATTTGTCCATTTTACCACAGAAGGTTCTAGCAATTATGGATTACAAATAATTCAAGCGGTTTACTGCTAGAAATCATGCATATCAATACCTAAATGATTCCTAAATCTCCTTAGAGAGGTAGAATAAATGTAACATTAATGTGTGTGACATGTATACCATGAGACACAGCTTATCTCAGGCTATATTAAAATGGTAGGGGGTGGCAGAATAACCTTCTTTGGTCATCTCTAAAAAATTCAGCATACCTGAGGGAGGGGGAATCCTATACGTCCAACATACCAACAATAATGTAAGCCAATGTTACCTCAGTGAAAAAATTGAAAAAATAAAAATAAAAAGTCAGCATGCAACTCTTTTGTGGGTTTTCTAGGAAGATAAGGCTGGGGAGACATCAATTTTAGTGTTAATTTCGATCATTCTTAACCTATGATTTGAAAGTGTAAAATTTGCCTCCAAAGGATATATTTTTATGAGGCAGCTATGATACCTATGTAAATAAACATACTGTTATTTGTTAGTACAGCTATGCTTTGAAGGTAGGTTATACTAAATAAGTATGTCATAACTGTAGATACAATTCTGCTGAGGCCCATGTCTATAATCCAGTCATTTTTCCAGCATTCCTTCCAATTTATCAGGCAAGTAGTACTAGGATGGCTGTGTACTGAGCTCCTATAAGTGATCACCCCATATTTAGGTGTGACATATTCAAGCTGGTATTTACTGACCTCATTATATGATCAGGGAACACATTTTCTCAGAGCATCTTTGTTCTTCTTTGTAGCAAACCAGAGGAGGTGTGTTTGGGGACAACTTTCCAAATGTATTTGTGAAAGCCAATGCATTTGTGAAGGAAACTTATGTGTGAAGTATCAGAAGACTAAGAATCCCAGGAATGGGACTGGAGTCAGAGAGACTGAAGCCAGTAGGCAGAGAGGAAACAGTAATTATATCAATACTTCACTGGAGTTTTATGAAAATAGGAAAACCAAGTTTTTGAACTCAACTTCAAACTTTAATTTTTTACTTTTTTGATTTAACAGTCATTTATAAGACAAAATGAATTTTCTTTAGCACACATCAAAAATCATATCAAAATCTCATGACTTGTCTCTTTCAAAATTTAAGTCTCGGGGCCTCCCCTGGTGGCGCAGGCAGCGCCGTGCTGTGAAGCTGTCTGCAGCCTCTGCAGTGCCAGTTCAATCCTAGCCAGCGGGCGAGGGTCCCACATGGCACGGCAGATCTCTCCTGTCTCTCCTGTTTCACCCGCTGCTCCCCTCAGCAGTGTATTTTATCAGTCTGCCTGTTCTATTCCCCGCTCTGTCTCTGGTGAATCCTCACCCTCCCACGCATCTGGCCTGTACCCCGGTTCGTGTGCAAATGAATAAATAAATCTTTAAAAAAAAATTAAGTCTCTAAGGACATGTGACCCAGAACTTGAGTGTGTATCTCATTTATTATGTGTTCTTCCCCCTACTTCTGACTCTTCCGGACCCACCCCACCTGAAGTTTCTTTGTTTTTTTCTGACCTAAAATGTTGGATTTTGATGTTGGCTTCAACTCATAAGCAATGATATCTAAATTTTTAACGGTCAGTGTTTTGGAAATAGAGACCTGTCATTTCAAACTTCATACTGGTGAGACACATGTAGATGTATGTCTGGCATTCACAGGTGTTTTACTTCCTGCTCTATAAAAAGGAACTTTGTGCCTAATGGGGATGTTTGCACCTCCACTCACAGTGAAACTGGTTCATTCATATCTTGCTAAGAGAGATATATGTATGTGTAAAATGCTTGGAAACTGTTGGGAAACAGTCATAGTCAAGGTCAAATTTCCGAAAAATAATACATGTAGTTCATAAGAGACATTAACACCAAAATATCAAAGTATAAATTAAATGGCTATGGAATAGATTATTTTGCTTTTATTTTTAACTCAGAAGTTGCATCCTTCAAAATGCAATATAAACGTTGAAAAACTCACACACATACTCCTAAACACAGAGTATTCCCCTGTAAAATTTGGGCCTCTGTGGTGGCATAGGGGTTTGTTTCAGTGCTATCAAGTTATCACCAGCCACTGCAGCATGAGTACGATTCCCGGCCAAGGAGCTAACCCACATGGCCCAGCAGACCTCTCCTATCTGGCCTGCTGCTCCCTTCAGCAGTGTATTTCAGTAGATCTGCCAGTTCTGCTCCCCACTCTGTCACTGGTAAGTCCTATCACCCCCCATACTTCTAGCTTACACCCAGTTCTTATATGCATAAATAAATAAAAATAAATAAAATAATGTATTTATCCCAATGCAGATGCTATTGCTCAAATAAGGTTGTTTATATATATATATATATATTTCTTACATCATTTTTCATTTTTGCACAATGTATGCATTTTCATCTTGGTTATATTCCCCATACAATTGTACCCCCCTTATTTTGGCCTCTATCCCTCCTCTCCCCACCCCCACAAAATGTTTTGAGAAATCTCTGTAGAACTGTCTCCTTACCAAAATATATACTTGATAAAATGAATTCATTAGAGTGCTCATTCCTCATTTCTAATTCTATCTTCACAAAAAGTTTTACTAACATCAATTGAAAGAATATTAAGTGAGGGCCTCCCCTGGTGGCACAGTGGTTGAGCGCTAGGTTGCGAGGCTGCCCGCAGCCTCTGCAGCGCCAGTTCGATCCCCGGCCACCGGTGAGCGTCGCACAAAAAAAAAAAAAATAAATAAATAAGTGAATGCCAACGATACCCACTGAAAGAATATCTAGTATAGGTATAAAAAGTTTTTAAACAGTTAGCATGCCATTGTATTCTGGGGAGTTACATTCTCAATAATTATTTCTTTAGTATAATGAACTAAAGATATCTTCACTGCAGCAAAACATGAAGAAAATAGGCAAATGCCTAAAACAAAAGCGGATACATTAGATTATTGCTATTCATCTATGAACACAATGTAATACTGTGTGATATTAATAAAATAACTATAAAAATAGAAAATATATAAAAATAAAGTAAAATAAATAATAAAAAAATTTAAATATTTTTGCTCCAAGAGAGCAACATTTATGATGAATGGCCTTCATTGAATCCTTCTTATAGTTAGACACTATTCCAAGTTCCACATAGGACTGATCCTTTCTATTCTACCTGCATCCTACTTCATAATAACGGACCCATGATAATCATGAGACAAATGTCAATGAACCATCCAACCAGTTTTCAACCATCCAACTCAATAAAGCAATGAGTCCCAGGAGGTCACTTACTTGTGTCCTGACTCATGAGCAATGGTAAAGGCCAAGCCAAGTCCCGTATCCTCATTGATGGTACAACTCCTGTACTTACTGCACATCCCACTGATGGGGGCAAATCCTATGGCAAGAGCAACTTCAAATGTTAGTCCAAAAGGAACACACACAGAAACTTGATTAGTTCTTCCATCCTCAAAATGTTCTGTAAGGTTTTAATTTAATGGATTAATCCATTTAACTATCTGCAGGAAAATGCTGAAAGTATTTGTTCTCTGTCCTGACCATGTAGCTAGATGTAGTACGGAGTATTTTCTTGCTTTCTAAAGAAACTGTCATCAGTGGATTCTCCTAACAACCCTACGAAGTCTGTAATTCCCATTTTATATAGAAGATAGAAGTCACAGGGCATTTCTATGTCCTAACTTTATCATATAGGTCAGAGCAACTGCTAAAATGATATGTAAGTCAATACAAAATGTGTCAAGGGAAAAACACATCCCGGTCTTTCTCTAAAGCAAAGAACATGGAAATGCTTGAACAATATGAGGAGAATCAGTTCATTTTTCTCCTTTTCACTGTAATGTGATAAATGCTCCTGCTCATCTATTTTATTCACTGAACAGCTTTAAAATCATCCCAGCCAGTCCTCAATTCTATTCTAAGTTTACATTATGTTGCTGACTATCTTTCTTCCAGTTTTGGGCCTTCCAAGACAATCAACAAGGCAACGCACTCAGTTATTATGAAACACATGCTGTGAACTGATTGTACCCACCTCATCATCATGAGATCAGGTGGGAACTCAATGTACAGGCACAGGTTATGGGTGCCAACATCATCACCACCACCTCCTCAACACTCCCACTCTGGGTCCTCATCAACTCATCATCCTATTCTATGCCATGGAATATGCCAGAAAATAGAAAATTGATGTGAATAATAAAGTCTTTATTCACTGTCTTGTACAAATATGAAAGAGCTGAGTCCTTTAAAGGTGAAGGAACATTCCAAAGGAGGCACTGTGACCTAGGGACACTGTGAAGTGCCAGGTAGACCAATTACCTTCTCTTCAGCCACCTGATTGTACAGGTTGTACAGGGAATAACCCACAGCTCATCTAGTGACCATTGTCCTCAACAATCATAAGTAGAGTTAATGAACAAAACCCAAAAGCATAAAGTAAATTGGTTCCCTTTTCCACACTGAATTCTGTTCAAGAATGTATACTCACCAGAGGACACAATGAGGATATGCCACCATTTAATCATTATGTCTCTTTATGAAGGCTCATCAGGGACATCCACCCAACAGGAAGTTTCCAGCTAATATGGGTGTACATGAAGCATTGGCTCATACTATACCTAATGTGTCACATGGCTCATTCTTCCAGGAACAAATATCGAATCCTGTGAGTAAGATGGCATGGTCGTGCCTCTTGCCATTTTTTCCAATGAGAGCAGACTGCCACTGGCAAAAACTGTTCAGAGACTGGTCTGCATGATGGTTGATCAATAATCCACCCTATAGGAAACCCACACAAATCAGAGAGTGAATATGTCACAGAGAGGAGAACATGGAGTCATTCCATTTGTACAGGCAAACACAGAACATTGAGTCATTCCGTTTGTATAGGCAAATACAGAACATTGAGTCATTCTGTTTGTACAGCAGGAAAACACAGAAAATATCATGTTTCTAGGGAAAAGGCAGGTAGAGGAAAACATGTGAGCTAAGGTTGGAGATGTCTGGTTAAAAAGAAAAGCTATTTTGGGTAAATGCTCACAATATTTAAAGCGATTATAGCTTCAGTAGTGTAGTTACGACCAGTTATGCCTTTACAACAGATAACCTGACATGCATTACAACACCTTTGTTATCTCATGTTGGTGCCATCTTTATGAACCTGTTACAACTTCCAGAACACCACTAATTAAAAAAAAATGGTAATAATGTTCAATGGTGTCTTCAACAGACTGGGAGGAAGGTAGTGATTGCAGATTCTTTATCCCAAGTCAAATTTCCCAGCAAAGGGTTTGGCACCTCATGGGTTATAATCAATCCATCAAAAGTTCACTGAGTGTATGAATAATTCAATAGTTACAAGATCCAAAAGGGTTAGATAGGGCCTACCCTTTAAAATGACCATTTTTTCAAAATGTTTGCTTTGAACTACTGACTTAACTTTGAGGGCTTTGAGATCAGATCTTTAGTTATCAGTGAATTAGGATGCCCCTGGCATCAGTGTCCTTGGGATAAGTATAAATGTAGCTGAAAACTATAGTGTCTCCTAGACTTGCTAAACTTCTAAGAATAATGTGACAAGTTGTTAACCTCTGTAGCTCAACACACCTGGACAACCGGATTGAATTTTGTCTTACCGCTGACTCCCTGCTTTGTATATCATCAGGGTAATAGATGGAAAGAAAAAGCCCTAAGGGGTTGATAAAAATGGTTTGCTTCTTTGGTAATCCCCATCTCACAGACAGTTTTAACATGAAAATAGGTACAAAGCAATGAGCACCATGCCATTTTTCACTTTATTTTATGGTCTGGTTTTATAATTTGCTTCATGCCTATACCTTGCACCTCACTGTAATCAATTCAAAGGCAGTCAAATATTCCTTGCTTATTCTCAACAGAGCTTAAGATGTTACCAGGGAGTAAGCAGGTCTATTGAAAGAATTTTCTGATAACTTATTTTAAGAATATTTTCAAAACATCCTTTTATATCTTCCTGCAATCACCCAGCATATCCAACTTGCAAAATCCAACTATCCCTTTAATCTATTATCAAAGGTACCTTACTTATATTTTATATTAATGTAATATTCCTATTTTATATTTATTTATATATGCACACTTAATCATAATTTATGCATCATTGCATATATGCATAATTATGCTATACATATACACATAACATATAGATTATAGATATTTATATATAATTATTTTGTGAGGTTTTATTACTTGAATAATAAAACAGGATAAATACAACAAGTTTTATTACTTGAATAATAAAACAGGCAGGATGAATGAAAGACTAAATGAAGTTTGCCACTTACAGGTTCTTGTTCCAGAAGAATGAGGCTCACCACGATGATGTTAATATCACTTCCAATGGTGCTGTCTTTAAATAGGCTGGAAACCTGTTGGGAAAATGGAAATAAACAAAAATTTTAAAATTTCCAAAATTTGGGGGTTTGGGAGTGGGGATGGTCCCAACAGACATATTTACAAGTACACAGGCTTCAATTTTACCACATATGTAACCTATGAAGTAGTTCTTCAAAACACAGCACTTTTTTTCTTCAATAAATTTGAATAGATCCATCTGCTACTAAGCCTATCCCAAAGAATTCTAAGATTCCCAGCTATTTTGGAGAGCCAGGAGGGTGTGAGTGCTGACAACCGCCCTTACCATGTTCATGACAGTGAGGATGTACGTTGTGACATTCCCCTTGCCATGCTTGTCCACCATTTTCTTGTCTGCCACCACAAGGGTTTCCACGTTTAGGCCCTTTTGTGACTTTGCAGCTGATCTTCTAGGCCGCCCTGTGCTCCCGTATTCATCAAACCTTAGATAGGTGTCCCGTGTGGGAGGCTTGGGGGCATCTACAATGAGCACAAGAGCATTTGGAAGGGAGATCAGTAGTCAACATCTAAGAAAATAGTTCAGACATCTAAATAAGGGGAGAAAAAAATGACAGAACCACCTCTCACTGATCTACTGATAAGGGAAGCCACTGTGCCTGTCCTAGGGCTTTGCAACTAGTATGAAGTTGAGAAAGATTCATACAGTACAAGTTTGGATGGATGGAAGGATGGATGGATGGATGGATGGATGGATGGATGGATGGATGGATTCAACACCTCAGGAATTCTCTGAAGAGTAAAACAAAACAAGCTACAATGCTAATTGGTAAATCAGGTCAGGAAGAATCCATTTTGTTGGGTGAGTCATGAGCTTTTAAAGGCAGAAAATGTTCATTTTATTTTTTGCTAAAAAACTGCATAAATAGACATTATTTGCATCTAAATTCATGACAACATTATCTATTACTTTCTAAATAAAATTAATCTCCTTTACAACATGGCTTAGACCTTATAGAATGTCTGATCAAAATAATCCTTAATGTTACATATAATAAATGGTCGCTAAGAATTATTGACTTAGCTATGAGCGAAACAGCAGCATCATGGGTGATATAAAAACAATATGAAATACTTTATAATTGGAAAGATATAGGACCACCTTAACAGAAGGGATACTGGCCATAGCCTTTCAACTTGGAAGTGGTTGTTGGGCAAGGCATGCACTTTTTGGTTAATGGATAGCACTGGTCAAAGGTAAGCTGGGAAGGAAAGGGGCATTTGGAAAGCTCTGGACAGTAACTGTATACTAACACGGGTACTACTAATACAGAAAAGGGGTTAAGTCGCAGCACTATGAAGCTATCCACAGCCACTGCAGCACCAGTTCAATCCCCGGCCAGGGAGGTGACACACATGGCTCAGCAGACCTCTCCTGACTCGCCCACTGTTCCCCTCAGCGGGGTATTTCATTAGATCTGCCTGTTTTGTTCCCCGCTCTATCTCTGGTGAATCCTCTCACCCCCTACACCTCTGGCCTGATTCTGAGACTCACTTTGCTCATCAACGAAAAGAGCACTGCAGCCAATCATATTAACTTTGTTGCTTCCTGCCATATACATATCAATGCCACTGTGAATATCACTGCTGTCACTTATACCACTATTATTACAGATGCATCTATTATAGAACAGAGGTCATTCAGAGGGAATTTCACTCACCCCCAAAATTCAAAAATCAGTTAACATGGCAAAAGAGCTGTCTTCCCTTCTTGCTCCCAACCAACACCTTAGTGGCACCAGTTCCCCTTGACCTTCGGTGGAGCCATCACCTGTCACTCAGTCCAAGAAGCACTCACCTGCTATTCATGGCCACCCCACCTAAAAGGTGGCTGGTACCACTGGGGAATGAGTCTTAACATTTTATTTAATTTTCATTAACTTAAAATTAAAAAGCAATACTTGATCCAGCAGATGCTTAGAAAAACATAACCTACATAGATCTGGGACAACTTGAATAGGTTAGTCTACTTTTTCAACTTTCAATTTTATGATACTGAAATACAGGTGAAGTATTTCTGAGGAGACCCTATCAGCTGAGCTGAGATTGTGCTCCCAGTGTAAAATAAATACTGACTTTCCAAAAGTTAATAGGAAGAGAAGAATCTAAAATACCTCATTGACAAATTGGTGGTCGTGATTACATGTTGAGAGATTTTGTGTACATTGGGTTAAATACTGTGTTAATAATAATTCACCTTTTTAAAAACAATTTCTAAGGTGGCTATTAGAGAATGTGAGTTTACATGTGGGACCAGCATTAACATTTCTGCTGGACATTGCTGTTCTAGAAAAGGCAGAAAGTTTACCCGGGTCACCAGTGACACCCAAGGGTCTGACTGGGCTCCACTGCCACCTCTACTCAGGTGCCAATGTCCTCACTTCTAGGGGTGTCTTTCCTTCATGTCCTCAAAGGAACACCCATCTCCCCCAAGGGAGTCAACTCTGATTTTTTTCAATGGAAACCTCAGGGCACAGAGACCAAGATCTATTGGGACTAGTAAGTTAGAGATGTAAAAAGAGAAAAAAAAATCAAAATCTTCCCTAATTTAACCTAGAAGAAGGGATCGCCTAGTTTTGCCTGGTAGATTGGTCCATCCCCAAGACTCATATCTGGGGGTGCCTAGGGTAGCCCCATCGTAACTAGCAAAGTCAGCACATCCACAGACACTCAGGAGAATCTGACGAGGGCCCACTGAGAACAGAACAAGAAAAGGTTTCCTTACATACATTTCTTGCGTCGTCCACAAAAATGCTGCTTGGGCAACCTTCGGTGGGGATGCTCTCCTTCTGGATTCCCAGGTGTGTGGGGAGTGGGTCTTGGGGGGTGAGCAGGATAATTCTGGCTGGAGCCTGGGTAGCCATGGCAACGCTGGACCTTCTCCTCAGCTGTCCTTTTGTAGAGAACATGAGGGTGATGGCCGGCAGGGGTGCTATAGTTGTGTTCCTGAGCCAGGAGCTGAGGTAACGGTGAGATGAGGAATTCATTTTTTCGTGTCCGTATTAGCCCTGACTAAAAAGCCAAACAAAAAGAAAACCTTAAATGCTTCTATGTCAGTGGCTTCCTGGGAGCAGGTTCAGGGCTAAATGCTTGACATGCATCATCTTATTGCATCTACATCACTGGAAGGTGCAACTATCCTTACTCCCATTTTACAGATGGGACAACAGAAGCTAATGTTGGTGCTCAGAGTTCCCTTAACTACTAATCTAGGCGCTGACCATGGCTTGTGTGACTTCAAGTCTGATCCAGGTGTCATCCTGCAGATGACCAGGACATAGTAGATACCATAGAAAACCTGGGACGGGGTGATGCACATAAAAACATTCACGTGCTCCTCAAGTTCACCAAGTAGGTAGCAAAACAAAGATATTCCATGCTGATTTCCTAAGTGAAAGCACTAATAAGGCTGGGCATTAGCATTTATCTCCAAGGAGGGGCCTGGGTTATCTGATGAAGAGAGAGGTCTGCTAACTCAAGAAGGCAGAGGGGGCCAGGGGAAGGCCACGGAATATAAATTCACTTCTCAATTCCATGGCCCAAAACCTGACCTTTGGATCAGCTGCAATCATGCCTGGCCTTTGTTTCACCATATCTGGTATTTTCCTTTCTCCGTGTCTGGTCCAGAATTTTCCTGACACTCAGGTCCTGCTACAGAAAGGGTGGTCTGTGGCTTGAGCCAGCATCTTTCATCTCACCTGGTAGTTTGTTAGAAATGCAGACTCAAGTCTCACCCCAGGCCAGCTGAATCAGAATTTGCATTTTACTAAGATTCTTGGGAGATTTGTATACCCATTATAGTTTGAGAGACACTGATACAGGGCTGTGATTCTTAAACTTTGCTGAGCAAACCTGGGTATCTTGCACGCGCACACACACAGTCACTCACTCCTAGGCAGAATCCCGTCCATCAGAAACAGAATCTCTGTCCTTGTGATGGAAGCATCAGATATTTTTTTAAAGATTTATTTATTATTCATACAAGCAGTGGGTACTATCAGAAGTGCGGGAGGGTGAGAGAATTCACCAGAGCCAGAGCGGGGAACAGAACAGGCAGACTGACTAAATATACTGCTGAGGGGAGCAGTGGGCATGGCAGGAGAGGTCTGTCGCGCCATGTGGGACCCTCGCTGGTGGCCTGGGATCAAACCAGCACTGCAGGGGCTGCGGGCAGCTTCGCAGCCCAGCGCTCAACAGCTGCACCACCAGGGGAGGCCCAGCATCAGATATTTTTAAACAGCCATGGTTATTGCAATCTTGGGGAACCAGTGGGAGTTCAGGCCTCAACTCCTCCATATGCAAAGTGGGCAGAATTCTTCCTGCTCTGACTCCATACAAGGGGAGATAGAACAAGCACTGTGGAAGCTCTTTGTATACTCTGAATAACAGTCATTTACATGACTGAGGATGGCAAGTGCCGAATCAATGCCAGGTAGCTAGGTAAATGTTATACTGGCTGGAGGACACCCAAACAGCAGTTGGCTTACTGGGAACACAGAACTATCCAAGGATGGTACAGAATGCTAAGGGTGTGTTGGGGTGGGGCAAGTGAGCATGGGTACACAGAGGACTTGGCACCTCACCTGACCTGTGTGTGGGTGGAAGGGTAGCCTCAGAGGGCCTACCTCCATATTTTGACCCTATGTTAGGGTTCAGCTTCTCATTCCTTAAAGAAGTCCTGGCATATGTGGTTTGGTTCTGCCTTTCTGTCTACTTCAGGAGGGGCTGCCTTTTATGAACAAAATGCTCTGAGAAACCCTCTTTGCTCTCTGGTCTGACCTCTTTGCTCTCTGTTTTGACCAGAGAGCAAAGCCATATGCATAGACTTGCAGTCTGTGACACAGCTATGCAAATCTGCTGGCTGAGGTTAAAACCAATCTTCTCAATCCCCACTACTGACCAGGGAGCTGAAAAGAGACTTAAACTATGGGTACCCAGGCTTCGCAGCTCCACAGTGCATTCTTTAGAAAGGAAAAGATTAAACCCTAGTGTTATAGGACAGGGAATATTAACATATATTTAGGCCAAAACAACTTAAAACCAGAAGCGCCCCCTCGAAGAATAATTGCATGTTCAATGTCAATGACTCACTGTTTCTATCTATATAAACTTAATTCCAATCTGTGACTGTTGGGACAGTTCCAACAGTCAAACTTTCAATTTGCCTGCATTTGAATCCTCACTCTGAAAATCTAATAAACACTTTGTCGAGCTATCGATACAACTTGTATTCCAGTTAACAGTTTTGAAAGACTGGCTGTAGCACTGACATGATATCTAGAGCCTGGACACAAAGACCGATGCTTGCCTTCATTTAGCAAACACACCCTGAGCACTTGATGCATAGCCCTGTCCTAAGCATTGGCATGTGCAAAGGAAGCACACAATATGATAATACACCAGTTCACATTGATGTCTGCAGGGAGACCATGGGAAAAGAAAATCCCCAGGCAAGAGAAAAAAACTGGATAAATAAAACTCATGGTCCCAGCAGTCTAGTCCATCATTCATCCAGCCATATCTCAGAACAGCTCACTCTTCCCTAGCCCAGCCCTGCCCCAGCCGGGTCCCCCTAGTGAGCATCTATCAGTTACCCATCCATCTGCATCAAGCCCAGTGCCATGCCGGTGCTGGTAAAGACTCTCATCTCTCATCTGGACACTTTGTATTTGGTCTCCCAAGTCCCCTGTTCTCTCCAATATGGTCTCCTGGCATCAGCCAGAGTCCTCGTGCAACATAAATCAATTCATTTCATGCACTCTGGTATGAAACTCAAATCTAAATCCCTTTTCCTGGTCCACAAATCCCTGTATAATCTGCTCCCTGTGGAGTCTGGCAGCTTTATCTGTTCCCTCCTTCACACCATTCCAAACAGGACATTTCTCTGCCTCTGTGCATCTCCTAAGTTCTTTCAATTGATGGGGAGAATCTGCAACCCCAAAATATACCTAATATTTTAAGGATTATTTTTAAGAAATATAGTACACATAAGAAGCTCTGCAAAACTAGAAGCTGCCCTTTGGTAAGAGACAATTAAGAGATTTAAAAGGGAAATCTCCACCTGTGAAGCATCTCCCTCTCTGTATAGCAAGTCCTCATTTAACATCGTTGATATACTTTCTTGGAAACTGTGACTTTAAGCAAAACAACTATCGGGAAACCGATTTGGCCACAGGCTAAATGATATAAACATGAGTCAAGTTCTTACGGCATATTTCTGGTCACAAAAACACTTCAAGCATTTCAAATGTTAAACCATCATTTGTTCTCATTCATTCATTCATTTTCCAACCTGCTTATTTCAGTTTAGGCTCCTGGGTGAGTGGAGCACCTCCTGGCAGTTCAGGATGCAAGATGGGACCAAATGTGGACAGGATACTCTTTCTTCACAGGGTATATCAGTTCCCAGCAACCCTCCCTTTGGTGGTAATGGACATTATGGGATTTGTAGTCCTTGGTGTCCTGGATCTCTTCAGTCTGGGCTGGGGGTGGGGTCCATAAAACCTGTGTTTGTGGATTTCATTCAGGACATCCTTTTTCCCCAAAGAATGACTAAATCACTAGAAACTCTTATCAATGGAGAAGGTAGAGATTTTAAATCCACACAACAACCTTACCCTCAGTTACTGTGCTTTGCCTGATCAATTCCCATAACTTACTCCCCCACTCCAATCTTATTTTATCTTTAGCTGGAAAAGGTATTTAAGGCGGAGGTTTGGATCATTTCAAAGAATTATTCAGTATCCCTGGGTACATCCCAGGTGTGCAGGGCATACATGTTATTAAATGTTTGTTCAATTTTCTCCAGCTAATATCTTTTATTACAAGGGAGTCTTAGCCAAGAACCCAGAGGGATAGAGGGAAAATTATTTTTCTTCTCCTACGTGCTCTTGACTGAGTTTGCACACACTCTCTCTTTCACCTACAGTCTTCTACAGACTTGTGTGGTTTCTTAGAGCTCAGTGCCTAGTTCTCAGCTTCAATGGCATTGCCTCAGAGAAGCTGTGCTCTTGCCCTGTTAGAACTACCCTCCCCCATTTTAAATGATCTCAGGCCACAGTTTATTTGCTGCATGTCTACCTTCAACGATAAAAACAAACAAATTGTGGCCTCTCCACAACCTCCAACATACAATTTTAATGTACACTCTGACAGGAAGAGACTCATTGGCACCCCGGTGTGCTCCTCATAGTAGCCACCAAGAAATGTTTATGAGTCCATAAACACTTGTTGAATAAGTGAGTCTCGGAGTGCAGAGGATGCTAAGGGGTTGCCAGAGAGTCACAGGGCAAGCAGATAGCTTCTAGGGTCAGAACAGAACAGGCAGAAGCCTTGGGAGGAATAAGGAAGGCTCCAGAAATAAGGGCAACAGATTCCAAAGGGGCAACCCCTACTCCCCCTGTTAGGGGGAAAAGGATGTCCCAAAGCTATTTCCATACAGGCTTTGTGGACTCCACCCCCACCCCAGGTCAAAGCCAAAGACACTGGGAACTCCAAATCCCATCATCACCCAAGGGAAGGTGGCTGGGACCTGAGGGTGGGGTTAAGCAGCCAGGTGGATAGAAAAGGCAGACACGTGGGCTTTGGGGGACACCATTTTGGGCTCTCCGCCAGCTCGCAGCGTCCGGCCAGTTCTGAGAGTGACTTTGGGTTTCCAGGTCGGCGGATCGGGTAGGACGCATTAAAGACTTTATTTCCCTATTTTCTCCCTGAGTTGTACATTTTCCTTATTTCCTTTCCTCTTGTAAATAAACCTTTTATTAACCTTTTTGTGTGTGTCTGTAGTGGAGTATTCCTAAGTCCCTTTAAAGCGCGCGGGTGAGGACCCACAGCCAGGAACCCATTTAATATCGGGGTTACTCTATAACACCCCCACTAGGGGCAAAAAGGACACTTAAAGAAAAAGGACTCTCTGATAAGGGCTGAAGTTCAAGATTCAATTCTGGGCACAGAGAAATTAAGACAGAGCAAGTGAGACCAGGAAAACTAGCCAATCACAAAGAGACTGGCGG